CTCCTCTGCCTCTCCACCTCCCCCCACTTCCTCTGCTGCTTCATCTCCTCTTTCCCTGCTTCTCTCCTTCTCCTCTGCTTCTCCATCTTTCTGCCTCTGGAATGCTGGCTGTTTTGTTTTTTGAAACAGTGTTTCCTATAGTTGAACTGAACTTGACCTCTGATATTGTACCCTGATCTGCCTCCACCTACAGAGCGCTGGAGCATGGGTCACCTTTCCCAGTCCAATGGAATAATTGAAGATAGATGATAGGAACTTTTATAACCTTTTTAACAGAAACCCATTTTTGCTGGGAAATATACGTGTCTAGTGTAGCTATGGACATAATAATTTTAAAATTTCTTCCTAAACTATGCTCTATCAGTACTCAAGCAGAATCTTTGAGCTTGGTTCCGTAAAAGTAGCTGAAGGCTTTGTGTACTGTTGTTGCATACTACTCCTGGGTACAGGAAGGGAAAAATCATTTTGATAGGACAAGGATGGTTTTGTATATCAAGGGTCTTAGGCTGTTTCTGTGATAGTTCTGGAAATCCTGTTGGGCTACTATTAGTGTAAGTATCCAGTACCATGCTACTGTGTAATAATTGTGAACTTTTAAAGATTATGTAGTAGGAGCTGGTGTGCAGAAAGGATGAGTAAAACTTCAGAAAGGTCTGAACAGTTTCAGCACAAGACTCCCACATGTCTTTGTTTCATCTTTCACTTAGTGTGACTTGGTGTTTCAGACTGATGGTTTCCTTGATAGCCCACTTTATTGGCACATATTGGGAGATGACAGATTTAAATGCTCTTATTTCTTTGGATGTAACATGCATTTGTGTTCAGTGTAAAATTCTACCAGGTAGTAGCAGTTGTTCATTTATTTCCATTAAACAAATGCTTAAACTGTGATCACCTTTCCTAGAGTCTTTTTACTCTTTTAACTATTCATCTTTTAACATTATTACACCAAAGTGTGTTTCATTAGATCTAGAAGGGGTATTGTGGTACATGCCTAAGAGCCTAGCACTAAAGTGGGTGCAGCAGGAAGGAGCACAGCCACAAGTGTGAGGCCAGCGTGGGCTACATTGAGATCCAGGCTAGTGTGGGCTGCATATTGATAACTTGTTTCAATACCCTAAAATGTGTTTCATCAAAAACAGCTCAATTCTGTATTTGTCTTTTAGTCCGAATACTCAATAAGTAAAAGGTACCTGGGTTTGTGTAACTCAGTAACTAGATATTTTGCTACCTGTTTCTAACTAGAAGCTTCATTTTTTTTTATTTGTTTGTTTTGTTTTTTGAGCAGAGTCTCTAAATAGCTCTGGCTGTCCTAGAACTCACTGTGTAGACCAGGCTGGTGCTGAACTCACAGACATCCACCTGCCTCTGGATTAAAGGTGTAAACCACACTGGGCTTCATATTCTAACTTCAGAATTATGCTTGTCAGGTCATGAGACTAAAGATTTTGATAACAGCAAAATAAATAAATAAATAAATAACGTTGCCATTTGTTGCCACATTTATTCAAATATTTTATGTGTATGAGTGTTTTGCCTGTACATATATATGTGTATCTTGTGTTACCTAAAGAGACTTGAAATAGGAGTTGAATACTCTGGAACTGTAGTTGCAGGTGGGTGTTGGGAATCAAACCCAGGTCCTCTGCAAGACCTTAGCCATTTAACCATTTCTCTGGTCCCTTATTTATTTTTCTGTATCCTTTTTTACCTGTGTTAGAGACTATCCTTATCCGTGGCTGGTAAGATGGCTTAGCAGGTAAAGGTGCTTGCCACCAAGCCTCTTGACCTGAGTTAAGTTCCCAGAGCCCACGTGTTGGAGGGAGAGAACCAATTCCCACAGTCTGTCCTCTGATTCCCACCGGTGTGCAAGTACATGTAACACACACACACACACACACACACACACACACACACACACACACACACATACGTAAATGCTTAAACAAGACAAGTATACTGTCTGGTTTTATGTCAACTTGACACAAACTGGAGTCATCAGAGAGGAAGGAGCCTCAGTTGAGGAAATGCTTCTCTGAGATCCAGCAGTAAGGCATTTTTCTCAATTAGTGATCAATGGAAGAGGACCCAGCCCATGGTGGGTAGTGCCATCTCTGGGCTGATGGTCCTGGGTTCTGTAAGAAAGCAGGCTGGGCCGGGCGGTGGTGGCGCACGCCTTTAATCCCAGCATTCGGGAGGCAGAGCCAGGCAGATCGCTGTGAGTTCGAGGCCAGCCTGGGCTACCAAGTGAGTTCCAGGAAAGGCGCAAAGCTACACAGAGAAACCCTGTCTTTAAAAACCAAAAAAAAAAAGCTGGGCGGTGGTGGCGCACGCCTTTAATCCCAGCATTCGGGAGGCAGAGCCAGGCGGATCTCTGTGAGTTCGAGGCCAGCCTGGTCTCCAAAGCGAGTTCCAGGAAAGGCGCAAAGCTACACAGAGAAACCCTGTCTCGAAAAACCAAAAAAAAAAAAAAAAAAAAAAAAAAAAAAAAAAAAAAGCAGGCTGAGCAAGCCATGGGGAGCAAGCCAGTAATCAACAGTCACCCCCCACCCACCCCCACCCTCACCCCCGCCTCTGTGACAGCTCCTGCCTCCAGGATCCTGCCCTGTTTGAGTTCCTACCCTGACTTCCTTCAATAATGAACAGCAATATGGAAGTGTAAGCCAAATAAACCCTTTCCTCCCCAACTTGCTTTTTGGTCATGGTGTTTCATTGCAGCAATAGAAACCCTAACAAAGATCTGAGTTTTCTTTCTTTCCTTCTTTTTTTTAAGGATTTATTTATTATGTATAGTGTTCTGCCTGCATGTATGCCTGAATGCCAGAAGAGGGCATCAGATCTCATTATAGATGGTTGTGAGCCACCATGTGGTTGCTGGTAATTGAACTCATGACCTCTAGAAGAGCAGCCAGTGCTCTTAACTTCTGAGCCATCTCTCTAGCTCCCTTCCTTCCTTTCTTTCGTTTTTTGAGATACAGTTTCTCTGTGAAGCCCTTGCTGTCCTGGAACTAGCTCTGTAGACCAGGATGGCCTTGAACTCAGAGGTCCACCTGCCTCTGCTTCCCAAGTGCTGGGATTAAAGCCGTGTACCACCACTGCCCAGCTGACTTTCTTTTTTAATTGTGTATTATTGTAGTATGCAAATAATAATACATATTCATTCCTAGCACACTTTGACCATTCCTTCAGATTTTGTAAATTAGCTCTGTGTTGTATAAAATTGACAGTGAATATATTTTTTCTTTTTTAGAATTAGGTGCATAGTCTGTCTCTGTCTCTAGTATTAGGTGCATGGTCTCTCTCTGAGCATGTGTATGTGGAAGCCAGAGGTCAACATCAAGTGTTCTTATATCTCTCTCTACCTCCGTCTCTTACTGAAACTTGCTGATTGGCTACATTGGTTGACCATCAAGCTCTGGAGATCTAACTGTCTCTGCCCCACTAATACTAGGATTACAAACACACAACCATAACTCTTTTTGTTTGTCCTAGGGATCCGAAGTCAGTCCTCATGCCTGTCCTCCAGGTGTATAGGCTTTAGAGAATCCCCTTCCTTAAGACAGTATTGGCAAGGAAGGAAAGTTTTGCTCTTTTACTAATGTGTAGGTTTTTGTTTAGGCTTATTTGTTTTAAGATAGTTTCCTTGACCAATGTGTCCCTAAACTCAGTGCCCTGGTCTCCCGAATCCTGGAATTTTAGGTTTGAGCCATCATTTCTGAAGTAGAGGTACTAGTTTTTCTTTTGTTGGAAAATGTGATTGACAGTCATAAGTTTAAATGTCTTAGGCTTTCTCTTTGACAGAGGAGGCTTAAGAATTATTGAACAAGATTATATTGAATGCCGGGCGGTGGTGGCGCACACCTTTAATCCCAGCACTCGGGAGGCAGAGCCAGGCGGATCTCTGTGAGTTCGAGGCCAGCCTGGACTACCAAATGAGTTCCAGGAAAGGCACAAAGCTACACAGAGAAACCCTGTCTCGGGGGGAAAAAAAAGATTATATTGAGTAGCACTTTATAAAGATTTGATCACTTTGCTTACCCGATGATTTAATTTACTATCATCCTGAATGTTCATTTTACCTTGATAAGAACAAGGCATAACACAACAAGGTAGCACACACCTCCAGTTCCAGTAGGCAAAGGCAGGAGGATTTAAGGCCACACAAAATTCTAGATGAGTGAGACCCTGTCTCAGAGATAAAACAAAACAAAAAACCCAAATAACTCTGAGGCCACATGGGGTTATGTGCTACTTAAACATGCAAGTATTGGGAAATATAGTCTATTTTAAAAATACATAATATGTACATACAACATGAAAACTTTTAGTGTGATAGGACAGATCAAACATTAGGTCTGACAAATTGGTCAGGAGTCAGCAGCCAGAATCATATGATCTCTGGCATAGGTGTTTTGAGTATCAAGCAAACGAGGGTTCTTTCTGCCACCTTTCAAGCACTTGTAGACTTGTTTTTTAGCTCTTGGCGCTTTCTTTTGCTTGCAGCGGTGAAGCAAGCTAACCAATAATGACTAAAGAACAGGGTGAGGTTAGTGGTAGGTTGAATAGCCAATTTTGGATGTTGGTCCCTGTGGCTTTAGGGAAGGGTACTCTGAGAAGAGGAATAATCTGTCTATCACTTTCCCTTCCTTGCTTTTTCTCACTGGTCACATGAAACACACAGATCCTGGGGGTATTAGTGGTGCCAGCATTGTAGGGGCTACCCTTTCCCTGTTGCTTCTGAGAAAGCAAGTAAATGTCCTGGTTCAGTGTTCTTGGTGTGACTAGAACCTTGGAAATAGGAGGCAAATTATTAAAACAAATAAACGGAAAAGGAAAATCTCACTTGGAGTACATATATGCTACTTGTTATGATAGCTGCCTGTGTTTGAAGTCACTTTAAATCTTTGATCTTTGATTTTCTAAAATAGGGGTAATTTTATTAATAATGTCACTGTTTACAAACAATGTTTACGATTTTAATTTTCTCTTTGTCTAACTAGATGTGATGCTGACCCTTCAGCCCTAGCCAACTATGTTGTAGCACTGGTCAAGAAGGACAAACCTGAGAAGGAATTGAAAGCCTTTTGTGCTGATCAACTTGATGTCTTTTTACAAAAAGGTAATTAATTGGGGCCTTCAAGTATTTTAGGTAAATATTTGTAATTTAAAACTTCCTGAAAACAGCCAGGAGCAGCAACACAGCCAAACTTCATGAAGGTATAAGCTTGAGGGGGGTGGGGGCAGGGGACTTTGGAATTTGTGCATAATCCATCCTCGAATAGTATCATGTTAATCTCTGTATCATTCCAATTTTACTGTATGCACCAATGAAGTGAGACATATCATATATATTTATGATATTCATGTATGTGCAGGTGCACGTAAGTATTTTTGGTGAAAGTAGGTCAACTCTGGTGTCATTTCTCAGGAACCTTCCGTCTTATGTTTCTTGTCTCATTGGTCTGGAACTTGCAAAGTAGGCTAGCTGGCCAGCAAGCCCCAGAGATATTCCTTCTCCAGTGCTGTGACTACAAACACGTGCCACCATGGCACAGATTCTGGGTTCAAATTCAGGTTCTTACACTTGTGTAGCAAGCACTTCACTTGAGCTGTCTCCCCAGCCCTGAAGCTGCATACTTTTTTTTTTTTTTTTTAGATTTATTTATTTATTATGTATACAGTGTTCTGCTTGCATGTGTCCCTGCTGGCCAGAAGAGGGAGCCAGATCTTATTGCAGATGGTTGTGAGCCACCATGTGGTTGCTGGGAATTGAACTCAGGACCTCTGGAAGAGCAGTCAGTGTTCTTAACCTCTGAGCCATCTCTCCAGCCGAAGCTACATACTCTTGCTGTTAATACAGAGAACAAATGTTCTTTTTCTTTCTTGTCTGGGGCATTTGAGATCCAAGAATGGGTATGATTCTCCTCTCTCTGTACCTTTAACTTCTCATCTCCAACTGGACATGAGGTGCTTGCCTGTGATTCAGCACTTGGGAATTGAAAGCAGGAGGATCAGAAGATTGGTTGTCCTTTGCTACATAGCCTGGGCTGCATGAGACTGTCTCCGATTTCCTTTACCAACATCCTCCAACCATACAGAGCTTGCAGGAAGTTTCTCTTGCTGTTTTCTTGATAGTTCCTGTCCCATCCCACCTCTACCCAGTCCTCTAAGCCACACTGCCCACCTCCCTGTCTTTGTCATTGAGTGTGTCCTTTCTTAGAGCCTGTGGACGTGTTTTATGTTTGCCTGGAGGAGTCTTTCTCATGTCCTCTAGATCTCTTGAGGTGTCGTCTTGCACAGTTCTCCCCAGTGTAGTTTGTAGACTATTCCACGCCCCGGTTACCCTTTTCTTTCCTCCTCTCAGCTCTCCTTTATTCCTTTTTTCTTTTCTTTTCTTCTTTTTCCGAGACAAGGTTTCTCTGTTTAATAGTCTTGGCTGTCCTGGATCTCACTTTGTAGACCAGGCTGGCCTCAAACTCACTGAGATCCACCTACCTGTGCCTCCCACATGCTGGGATTAAAGGCGTGTGCCACCACTACCCAGCTTTTTTTTTTTTTCATTTTTGTTTGTTTATTTATTTTTCTATTATCAGCTTGATACAGTACAAATTCTTATCCTAATAGTAAAATGTTTCATTGAGGCTTGCCCAGTAATTGAATAAAACCAAAACTTACTATAAGCCACAGTCATCCTAGGGTCCCCCCTGCTAGGTAGCATCCCTGGTTCTTTGGGTTGCAGTTTGATTGTTCTTGGCTTTATATCTAGTATCCACTTATGAGTAAGTACATACCATGTTTGTCCTTCTGGATTTGGGTTACCTCACTCAGGATGATATTTTCTAGTTCCATCCATTTGCCTGCAAATTTCATGCTGTCATTGTTTTTCTCTGCTGAGTAGTACTCCATTGTGTATATGTACCACGTTTTCTTAATCTATTCTTCAGTTGGCGGGCATCTAGGTTGTTTCCAGGTTCTGGCTATTACGAATAGTGCTGCTATGAACATAGTTGAGCATGTATCTTTGTGGTATGATTGAGTATTCCTTGGGTATATGTCCAAGAGTGGTATGGCTGGGTCTTGAGATAGATCGATTCCCAGTTTTCTGAGAAACCACCATACTGATTTCCACAGTGGTTGTACAAGTTTGCATCCCCACCAACAGTGGAGAAGTGTTCCCTTTGCTCCACATCCTCTCCAACACTGACTGTCATTAGTGTTTTTGATCATAGCCATTCTGACAGGTGTAAGGTGGTATCTCAGAGTCGTTTTGATTTGCATTTCTCTGATGATAAAGGATGTTGAGCATTTTTTTAAATGTCTTTCAGCCATCTGAGATTCTTCTTTTGAGAATTCTCTGTTTAGCTCTTTAGCCCATTTTTTAATTGGATTTTTCAGTATTTTAAAGAAAAGGTCTCACTGTGTATCCTTGGCAGGTTTTGAACTTATGACATCTGCTTGCCTTGTGTCTCCTAAGTACTGGGATTAAAGGCAGGTACCACCATACCCGAGTGCCTTATTCTTTTCATGGTGCTTGTAACACTCTGCTGTATATTTGCCAGCTTATTTGCCTTTTCCTTGTTTGCTTTTCCTTTTCTTGAAAGTAGAGACTTGGAACCAACAATATTTGGTATATAGACTCTGAAAAAGTACATTTATTTATTTATTTTGTGTGTGTGCGTGTGCCACAGCATGCATTTGGAGGTCAGAGGACAACTTTCGGAGTGGGTTCTCTCCTACAATGTGGGTCATGGAGATTGGAGTCGGGTCAGCAGGGTTTGTGGTAAGGGCCCTTACTCATTGAACCATCTCATTAGCCTTGTTTTTGTTTTTATGTATTTATCTCTCTGTTTATTTTTTTTAATGAACTGTCTTTCAAATTACAAAATTGATACCTGTGAAAATACAATAGAATATGAAGAAAGTTGTTTATAAAAGGTTTCGAAGAGTCTAATCTATTACCTTAAAGTTATATGTAACAGTCAGCAAGAATTAACAGTTTTATTTATTCTTATATGTCTTTCTTCTTTGTTGATAGGGACTCGTATAGGACAGGGTATATTTGAACCTGTCATGTATTGGAGGATAACCTTAGACTTCTGTGAACTTCTGGTCTTCTTGCCTCGATCTTTGAAGTATTGGGATTGTAGGCATAAACCACTAAGCCTAGCTTACTATTGATTAAACCCAGGATTTTCTACATACTGGGCAAACACTCACCTACATCTCCAAATCTATTTTTAATTTTTTGAAAGTAATTTTTATTTTTGGATGTATGAATGTTTTGCCTGCATGTTATGCCAGTGTACTGTGTGCATGCCTGGTGCCTGTAGAGGCCACTAGAGGGCGCCAGATCCCTTGGAACTCAGTTATGGATGATTGTGAGCTGCCAAGGGGTTTCTAGAACCAAACCTGGGTCCTCTATAAGAGCACCAAGCAAGCTCCCTTAACTGCTGAGCCATCTCTCTAGCCCCTGTGTTGTGTTATTTATTTATTTATCCTTTGGTGGGAGTATCATTCTAGTACAGGCTGCCCTGGAACTCACTAAGTAGTCTAGGTTGGTAATCCTCTCACCCCGCCTCCTGATTACAGAATATAGCTGTGAACCACCATGTTCCACTGCAGCTAACAGTCGTATAACATTTTGGAAAAAAAAAGTTTGCGTATAAAATTAGTAGTGTAAAGGAGTTTGTCTGTAGATGCTTTTCTGAGGTAAAAGTAGTTGGCATTTTAGAAATGTAAAATATGTAATTATTGTAGCATCAGCAATGCTCATGTAATGCCTTCGAAATACTCAGCCGTCCCATATGTTGGGGATTGAACCATCAGGGCAAGCCCACTTCCACTGAACAGTACCCCTTTAGGTGTTCCCTAGGACAAGACCAATGAAAGTTACTTAAATTTAACTAGAGTAAAACTAGGAATATTTTGATATTTGTGTTTTTCAGCAAAACTACCTGTTTCTCTCATTCTGTTTGTCTGAGGAAGTTTCAAATAGGCTAGAACATGGATTTGAGTCAAACACAGATATTGATTTCAACCCATTCCAATATATCTAATTCAGTCTTTGAGTGGGTAGTGCATTCTATCCAACACGTAAGATTATACTGTGGGATTACTTCTTCCTCTTCTACATATGCTTCTTTCCCACCCATAGTACAGTTTGTCATTTTAGTTTCTTTGAACAGATAAACACATTAAGTATTAGTTTATGTCTTTACAGCTGATATTCTTAGTAGGTCAAGAGAAATTTTGTAATTTCTTATTTGATAGTTTGTTAGTCTCTTGCTGATAGGAACTTTGTTTCTAATCTGTTCTTAAGCAACAAAATCTTACATTTATATCATTTGCACACATGCAATTATGTTTGAAAGATTTAAAAAGAAACAAAAGTTCTAGAAGTGATGTTTCTTCCTTTAAGGTAAGTCTTGGTTTTAAAAACCTGACAGCAGTGTTAAAGATCCCTTGTTTTTCTAAAGCATTAGCAACAGTGTTTAAACTTTCCATTTTTGTTTGTATAACATTTAAATATTTTTTTCTCTTTAGAGACTTCAGGTTTTGTGGACAAGCTCTTTGAAAGTCTTTATACTAAAAACTACCTTCCACCATTGGAACCAGTTAAACCTGAGCCAAAACCACTAGTTCAAGAAAAAGAAGAAATTAAAGAAGAGGTAATACACTTCTTAGATTCTGTTACCAGGATTCTTAATTGCAAGTTGAAATTATTTTTGTTTCTTTGTTTTTTTTTTTTTTTTTTTGAGACAGGGTCTTACTGTGTAGCCATCACTGGCCTCGAACTTAAGAGATCCATCTGTCTCTGCTTTCCATGCTGTGGTTAAAGGTGTTGTCACCATACTCCCCTCCCCTTTTTTTTTTTGTTGTTTGTTTATTTGTTTTAAGGCAGGGTTTCTCCCTACACCTAGAGTTGGATTTTCTTAGCTAGACTACAAACCAGCCCCCGCTAGTAATCCTTTGCTTCCCAGAGTTGGGTTACAGATGGGAGTAGAATGCCCCATTAATGTAGATGACAGCATTTGAACTCAGGTCCTTGTGAGCAGACAGCAAGCACTGTTAGCTGTAGAGCTATTTCTTCATCCTTCAGAGGAATGCAGTGATTTCTAAAGAAGGAAAATTTGGTTACATACAGAGGCTTGAATGAAAGTAAAGTATTAATGAAACTTCAAGAGAAATCATTAGGTAACATACTGTCACATAGACAGAGAAATGATTTACTCCGTTAACCACACTATCAACATAGGAAAAATAAACAGAAATATTGTTAAAGTATAAAGACACGATTAAAGATACCAGGCTAAGGAGCTAGAAAGTTGGCTCTGTAGTTAAGAGGTTAAGAGTGCATACTGCTCTTGCAGAGGTCTTGAGTTTGGTTCCCAGCACATACATCTGGTGGCTTATAACCATGTGTAACTCCAGCCCCAGGGGATGAAATGCCTTTGATGTCTGTGGGCACCTGCACTCATGTGTACGTATACACTCCCACAATATAATTTTAAGAAGATTTCCAACCTAATTGCTTGCTTGAACCAATAAAGGAACAATATAGCTTTCATTTAAAATTTCTTTTCTATATAAATCAAGCAATATTCGATAAGAATGTGGAAAAGAGGTTTTTTGGGGTTTTTTTTTGGTTTTTCAAGACAGGGTTTCTCTGTGTAGCACTGGCTATTCTGGAACTCGCTCTGTAGACCAGACTAGCCTTGAACTCAGTGATCCAGCCTTAATATTAAAGGCATGCACCATCACCACCACCACCACCTGGCTATGGGATGAGTTTAAAAGAGATGGGGTCTCATATATGCCAGGCTGGTCTCAAACTCACTATATGGCCAAGGATAACCTTGAAAACCTGCTGTTTCTGCCTCCACCTCCAGAGTGCTGGTGTCATCGACATGTGTCACCACACTTAGAGTGGGACCTGCCTTGTGTATGTCAGGCAAGTGCACTCTGAACTACACTCCCAGCACACAGATCACTATTTAAATTAAACTTTTAGTCCTCTATGTTGAAGGAGAACTCATAGAGGTCCTCCTGCCTCTACCTCTGGAGTGCTGGGATTAAAGGCATCCATTGCCACCCCCCAGTTGGAAAAGAGATTTTTATGTACACATATAGGTAGTCTTTAATCCAGTACCAGGAATAGAAATATTTTCCAGCTTTTTAAAGAAATATTTGTTTTTATTTTATCAGCTGTCGAGTTGGCTTAGTGGTTAAGAGTGCTTGTTCTTGTAAAGGATCTGGATTTGATTCCTAACAAAAACATAGCAGTTCACAATCATCTATAACTCCATTTCCATGTTGTACATGGTACACGACATACATGCAAGCAAAAAATTCATACATATAAAGTAAATACATCTAAAAAATGATTTATTTTTATTTTGTGTATGTGAGTATCTGCCTGCATGTATGTCTGTGCACCATGTGCCTGCCTGGTGACTATGGAAGCCAGAAGAGGATGTTGGATCCTGTGCTGGCTAGTTTACTGTCAACCTGACACAGGCTAGAGTCACTGGAGATGTGGGAACCTCAATTGAAAAATGCCTCCATAAAATCCAGCTGTGGGCAAGCCTCTAGTGCATTTTCTTAATTAGCAATGGTGGGGGAGGACCCAGCCATTTGTGGGGTGGTGCCATCCCTGGTGGGTGGTTCTAAGTTCTATAAGAAAGCAGACTGAGCAATCCATGATGCACAAGCTAGTAAGCAGCACTCTTCCATAGCATCTGCATCAGCTCCTGCCTCTAGGTTCCTGCCCTGACTTCCTTCATTGATATACCATGATGTGGAAGTGTAAGCCAATAAACCTTTTCCTTCCTAAGTTGCTTTTGGTTGTGGTGTTTCATTATAGCAGTACTACTCCTCACTAAGACGGATCCCCTGGAACTAGAGTTATAGACAGTTGTGAGCTGCCATATGAGTTCTGGGAACTGAACCCGGGTCTTCTACAAGAGCAGCAAATGCTCTTAACTGCTGAACTATCTCTCTAACTCCCATTTTCCAACTTCTACAAATTTACTTAATTCTACAGACAAAATGACTTAAAATTTTTTTATTTAGCAGTAATTGTAGATTTAGATCAGAATTATCCAGGTAGCACCCACAGCACTCAAGATGCCTACCTAGATGTGTTATTGAGGATTTGCCTCATTTGCTTTCATTATATGTCTGCACCTTAATTTTTTTTTGAGTCATTGCTCTCATAAACCATGGCCCTTCATCTTTTTGCATTTTCTAAGAATAAGAATAATTTTTTGGGAGCTGGAGATTGAGCTCAGTTTGTAGAGTGCTGGCCAAACACCTACAAAGCCTCAGGTTTGAGCACTAGTACCATATTAATCAGGTGTGATGGTGCACATGTCCCAGCAATTGCATGGCAAGGGCAGAGGAATGAGAAGTTCATGGCTATATAGTGAATTCAAGGCAATAAATAGGATATGTGAAATGTGGGATACATGAAATCCTGTCTCAATAAAAAGCTGGAGAGATTGTTCAGTTGATAAAGTGCTTGCTCCACAAACATGAGGGCCAGAGTTTGATTCTGCACCCCCAGAACCCTTCTACAAAACCCTAGTCCTTGTGCCTATAGTACCAGTACTGAGAGGATGCCTGGGGCTTGCTGGGTACCAGTCTGGTCGTACCAGTGAGCTCCAGGTTTAGAGAGAGAACCTGTCTCAAAGAATAAGGTGGGGAGTGAGAGGAAGACACCACACACACACACACACACACACACACACACACACACACACACACATTAGGATATTTATAGCACCTGATATATTTATAGCACCTGATATATTTATTATCATTTTCAGTATAGTTAACCTTCATACCATGTACTGTCTATTTCAGTTTTATTAGTTTACCCAGCAGTGTTCCTTACTTATAGTCTGTTCATTTCCTTTTGTATGGATTCATTCTGAGATTTGTGTGTTGTTTAGTTGTCATTTCTGACTCACTTTAAACATTTTTTTATTTTTTTATTTTGCAATACAATTCAGTTCTACATATCAGCCATGGATTCCCTTGTTCTCCCCCGTCCCACCCCCCTCACCTTCCCCCCAGCCCACCCCCACTTTAAACATTTTTTTAGATTTATTTTTATTTTGTGTATGGGTATTTTGCCTCCATGTATGTCTGTGTACCATGAAGAGAGCATTGGGTCCCTTGAAACTTGAGTTAAAGACAACTGTTAGCCATCATGTGGGTGCTGAGAATTGAACTCAAGTCCTCTGGAAGAACAGTTAGTGCTTTTAACCAATTATTATTATTATTATTATTATTATTTTAAACACTCATTTATTTTGGGTAGATGTATGGTACTGACGGGTTTGAACCTGTAGCCTTGTGCATGCGAGGCAAGTGCTCTGCCACTGAGCTGTAACTCGAGCCACTTAACCAAATATATAATTGAACTGATCTTACAAACTGTGACTATTTTAAATTAAGATCAGCTGACACCATTATCACTTGCCTTTTTTTTTTTTTTAAGTTTTCGAGACAGGGTTTCTCTGTGTAGCCTTGGCTGTCCTGGAACTCACTCTGTAAACCAGGCTGGCGTTGAACACACAGAGATCCACCTGCCTCTGCTTCCTGAGTGCTGGGATTAAAGGCGTGCACCACTGCTGCCTGATTTTTCTTTGTTCTTATATAATTTCTTTTTATTTATGTATGTACTTACTTTTTTTTTAAAAGTATTTCTTTTATTTTATGTGTTTGGGTGTTTTGCCTACGTGTGTGCCTGTACACCATGTGAATATAGTGCCCTCAGAGGCAAGAAGAGGGTGTTGGATCCCCTGGGACTGGAGTTACAGGCAGTTTGAGTTGCCATGTGGGTGCTGGGAATTGAACCCAAGTTCTCTGCAAGAATAACCAGTGCTTTTAACCACTGAGCAATCTCTTCCATCCCCAACTTACAGTTTTTGAGGCAGGGTCTCATGTAGTCCAAAGTGGCCTTGAACTCTTGATCTATCTGCCTTCACTTCCCAAATACTAGGCTTCAGTGTGTATACTGACCCCTGAGCCTGGCTCATAGTCTTTAAATTTTAAAAAGTAGGCTAGTGAGGTTTTTGCTATGTCTTTTCAAGTAGGGAAAATGGAGACCTTCCATGCATACAGTTGAGAAATTTTTCTTCGGTGCTTTATGGTATATAATCTATGTATTTGGTATAGGTTAAAATATTTTATAACCTATTTTTTAATGACAGGTAGCCCTTTTCTGTAGTTATAGCAGGTACTCACTGACTTCTGAGAATCTAACGACAATTGATGTATTAACAAAAGTGATACTGGAGCTGAAGGGACGATGGCTCAGTGGCTAGGCATTGCCATTGCTCATGAGCTTCCCAGCTCCCGCGTGAGAGGGTACAAACACCTGCAGCTCCAGCTCCAGGTGATCTTCTAGACTCTCCAAGGCACCATCCCCTCACATGGGACATACTCATAGATGCAGAACTCACACAAAAATCAATCGTTTTTTGAAAATTGTTATATTGTTTGAAAAGAACAGTTGAAAAAATCATTACAGGGTCCCTCCCATTTATAGTATCTTTGTAATAAAGTCTAATTTTGAAAACTGAAAAATGGATAATGTGAGCTTAGCTCTAGAGCTCTCCTGATTGACAGTTGTCTGGCATTTCTTGTTCCTAAGATTTTATGTTTGAGTTCATTGTGATTACTGGTATAAATAGTACTTCATACAGTCACACATAAATGTAGTGGTTTAATTCCTGACCTGCTCAGTTGCTGCTTTACAGCTCGAAGCTTGTTCTGAAACAAATCTCAGGACTAGCCGTCTTGACTTCTTGAGCCTCAGCTGCATTGCACTGTCAGTTGTTTTTATAATTAGATTATTGGCCACAGGGGAAACAGGCAGGAGAATTTGGACCATTGACGCAGCTCTTCTGGTATTGAAAAACAATAGAAGATGTGTGCTGAAGTTTATGTTGTACACAACATTTGTTCCTTTTTACCAAAACTTTCCCAAGATTTTGTTTTGTGAAGAAACACTGTTTGTTCTGTGGGGTTTTTATTGTCTAGATTCAGCTTGTTGCTTCTTGGTGGATTAATGCATCATTTGTGTTCCTTGTAAATTGCTGGAGGAAACGGACTTTTGAATCCAGTTGGATGAGTGTGTTCTCTGCAGTCATATGCCTGCCATATTGTGGTTGCCATTATTATACTGTCTGCATTTTATTAAATTGTTACCTTCTGGTCCATTTCCTGATTCTGATATTAATAAGTAAGGAGCTTCTCCATTATTTGGAAATTTGTTTAGTTCTTACAAATTTGATTCATTTGTATGGGGTACTAAGAATCAAACCCAAGACATTGTACTTGCTGTGCAGGCATTCTACTATTGAGCTAGGCCCTGAGCTCCGCAATCTTTTTTTTTTTTTTTTTTTTTAATTTTGAGGGTCTCGTGATATCCAAGGTTGCCTTGAATTCATGATCCTTCTGTTTTAGTCTCTAAAATGCTCAATAGGATTGCTTTTGCATGTTACCCTACCAGGCCCAAACTAACTTATTTATTTATTATGATTTTGAGACAGGGTCTTGCTATGTAGACTGGGTTGGTGTCAAACTCACAGAGCTCTGTCGGGCTCTACCTCCTGAGTGCTGAGGTTAAAGGCTTGCACAGCCATACCAACCCAAACTTAATTAATTTTTATTATTTTATTTTATTTTTTTGAGGCAGGGGCTCTTTGTAGTCCTGGCTGTCTTGGAACTTGCTCTGTAGACCAGGCTGGCCTCAAACACAGAGGTCCACCTGCCTCTGCCTCCTGAGTGCTGAGATTAAAGGCAGTGTGCCACCACCACCAACTGAGGAATTGATCTTATTTCTAACAAATCTCACAGGTATTTCAAGAGCCAGCAGAAGAAGAGCGAGATGGTCGAAAGAAGAAATATCCTAGTCCCCAAAAGAGTCGTTCAGAATCCAGTGAACGAAGGTTTGTATTTGTCTCTGAATAGTAAGTTACTGAAAGCTACTTTAGCATGCAAAGTTAGTTGCATAGCATTTATGGTCTGTGTCCCAACGCCCTCTCTAAAGCTCCAAAGGTGAGAGTGTTTGCCTTTTTTCCATTCTGTCTTTTGCTGTTGTCTCAGCTTCTGTGTCTAAAAAACAGTCATTATTTGCTTTCCCCAAGAGCACAGGGGTGGGAGCAGTCTCCTCAGAGAATTATAGTGAAATGTTCCATTTGTTTAGGGGTGCTCTGTATTAAAATTATCCATGCTAGCATATGCCAAAAGGGGTACAGTTTGGCAGATGTTCACCTTTGATCACAAAGTGCTCTTTGTTTAGGAAGACTTGTTTTGAGCCTTTCCCACTTTGTCCTTCTGATTTCTGTCTTCTCCCCCACTTTCCCTCATACTTTGGGTTCACCTCTTCTTTTTCATTTCTCCCTACCTTGTGTACTTGAAGTGGAAAACCCTTCCCCCTTTTAATAATGGTTAGAAGAATTAGTGGTAGTCTTGAGACATTCTAAAATAGACACTATGAATTGTGGTGACTTAAAGAGAGGTTTTTGTTCTCTGGACTTGTGCACAGATCTCATTTCTCGAGTCTCCGTATGGCTTTTATATCTGTGTATTATAGGACACGTGAGAAGAAAAGAGAAGATGGCAAGTGGAGAGATTATGAGCGGTACTACGAGCGGAACGAGCTGTACCGTGAGAAGTATGACTGGCGAAGGGGCAGGAGCAAGAGCCGGAGTAAGAGCCGAGGCTTGAGTCGGAGTAGGAGCCGAAGCAGGGGCCGCAGCAAAGACCGAGATCCAAACAGGAACGCCGGTGAGTAGGCGACAGCCCCGGCTGGGAGAAATGGGAAAACTGAAATTGTCTCCCAACCCAAAGCTGGATATTGATCTTTTTACAAAGACAGTGCTAATCTTGTATACCCTTGGAATTGTGGCAGTTTTTTAGAAGTTATTCTAAGTTATTGTAGCGTATATCAAGATTTAAATCGTTTTTATAATTGATACAAATGTTTTTTTAATTAGTGACAATAGCACTTGAGTAAAAAGGTTGCCTTCTCTTGTTTTTTTTGTTTTGTTTTCCCTGGAAGTAATTGAATTGACTTGCTATGAGGTTGCCCAATGTTCATAAAAAGAAAAATCCTAAAATGCCAGCGGAAAACCTGACTGAAATTCTGTCAGTGTACTTGTTGATAGTGTAAAATTGTTTTTCACAAGTCTGTTGAGATATGCCGAGGTGGCGATGTTGCTGCTTTTAGAATATACTGCTAGTGAATGCGTTTAAGCTGTAGATCTCTCAGTAAGTGTAGGCTACTGTTCTCAGCATTGCTGTTCTGAGACAAGTGTAGCTCAAGCATGTAAATATGTGACGACCTCTCTTGTTTCTTTGTCTCTAAAACAGAGCACAGGGAAAGATCAAAGTTTAAGAGTGAAAGAAACGACCTGGAGAGCTCCTATGTGCCCGTGTCTGCTCCACCTCCAAACTCTTGTGAGCAGTACTCCTCTGGGGCACAGTCTATTCCCAGCACTGTCACTGTGATTGCACCTGCTCACCATTCTGAAAACACCACCGAGAGCTGGTCTAATTACTATAACAATCATAGCTCTTCCAACTCTTTTGGTCGAAATCCACCACCAAAGAGGCGCTGCAGAGATTATGATGGTAAAGACTGCCTTCTCTTTTGTCTGTGCTGTTCCCAGCTAGGAAAGCAGGTGTTGCAGATGCTACATGGGCACTCCCCAGCAACCTGCCTTACTTTTTTATGTGAATACTAGTGTTTTCTTTTTCTTCATACACCATGTAATGTTTTTTCACTTACAGTTTCCTGAAAATACCCCCATACTGACATGTAAAGAACCTCAATTGCTTTTTGAGGCTTTTACTTAATATTCTATATGTTTGAAAATATGTTTAACCCATTTATCATAAATATGCACTTAGTCCTTTCTGGCATTTTCAGTTATAAGCACTTCTACAATAAATAGCCTTGTCTTGTATACCTTGCCGACTGGAAATTTAATGTTAAAATATTGTTTAAATTGATGCATACTATTCATACTTATAGCATATAGCACGATTTCAGTACATGTATACTGTATGTAGTAATCAAATCAGGGTAACTAGCATGTTTATAACCTCAAACCTATTTTTTGGTGTTGGGAACGTTCATGATCTTTTCTACCAACTATTTTAAAACAACTGTCAACTATAGTTATTTTATTATATTCTAGAACATTACCTCTCTCCTATCTACTTGAGTATTTTAAATTTAAACCATATATAGCAAGAATGGTTGCTTTAAAAATATTATGAAATAGATCATTGAAATGAAATTATTAGTTCAAGGCTTATTGTTTCCTATCAAACCTTTGATAAATGGATATTTGGTAAAATATCTAGTTTTTATTATTTAAAAAAAACTTTCTTTTTTTAAATGAGTCTTATTATGTAGCTCAGGCTTGCCTCAAATGTGCATGTAACTCAGGCTGGCCTCAAACTTGAAATCCTCCTGCCTCAGCCTCAAGAGTGCTAGGATTACAGGAGTCACCACCACACCTGTTTCTTATGAAAATTTAGCAACTTGGTTAATCTAATAGTAGCTACTTAGTATCCTGTTTGACCCTGCTGTTGTAAAATTTCATTACGTCATATTCTCATAGAGAATAGAGAATATGCTTGCCTCTACCTCAAGGTTATGTGGTTACTAACAGGCGAGCCCTAAGGAGATTTTCCACTTCTTAGAAAAAAACTTCAATGTAAAATAGGATGTTGAGTTTTCTGGAATTTGTTTTATTCTTTTAACTCTAAGTAGATCGTAATAAGGTTTTTGTTTTTGTTTCTTTAATTTTAATTCTTACAGAAAGAGGATTTTGTGTACTTGGTGACCTTTGTCAGTTTGATCATGGAAATGATCCTCTAGTTGTTGATGAAGTTGCTCTGCCAAGTATGATTCCTTTCCCACCCCCTCCTCCTGGGCTTCCTCCTCCACCACCTCCCGGAATGTTAATGCCTCCAATGCCAGGCCCAGGCCCAGGCCCTGGTCCTGGCCCTGGTCCTGGTCCCGGCCCAGGCCCAGGCCCTGGCCATAGTATGAGACTTCCTGTTCCTCAAGGACATGGTCAGCCTCCACCTTCTGTTGTGCTTCCCATACCAAGTAAGTATGTGTCAGTTGAATCTTGTTTTGTTGATGAGTTGTATTTAGAAGAACCTCATCCCCTTTGCTAACTTTAAAATGTTTGAAAAACAGTAATGGAATTTAAAGTAGTCTTCCATAGTTAAGATGTTCTTACTTTCTGCCATTCTTTACTATACCTGCAGTGTGCCTTTTGTCTGTAGTAGCCTACCTTGTATTGATCTGGAGACGAAACCTTGTTAGTATCTTAAGATGTTAGCAAAGAAACATGCTGGGAGGTTTGTGGATTTTCTTAGTACTTAAAGAAAATCTCTTCAAGAATATTAAAATAACTTGAGATTTTTTAAATTATAGACTCTTTAGAGGATGAATACTAACTTAGGCAGTATTTGTCTAATTGGCCTAGTGATTATCTATTCAGTCAACTTTGATTTAACTCCGTCCTCATAGTGTTTTGGGTTGATTTGTTTTTGTGGGAGTAAATTCTAAATACCATGTCATTTTAACTGTGTGTATTTCCATGTGGATTTCTTTACTGAAAAAGAGTTTTTATTTGTGTGTGTGTTTTTAAATTGCATTTATTGTATCCACCCCAATCAAGAGTAAGATATGTTTAAAAATGGCCATTTAAGGGCCTGGAGAGGTGACTCAGTCAGTAAGAGTGCTTGCTGTGCAAACTTAAGGATCTGAGTTCAAATCCCTGGTGTTGACATTAAAAGCTAGACATGGCTGTGTGCCTATAGCCCATCTCTGAGGGGGTAGGGTAGAGACAGGAGGATTGCTGGGGCTGTTGTCTGCCATTCTAGCTGTGGGTTCAGTGAGAGTCTAGAGGGAATAAGGTGGCGAGTAATAGAGCAGGACATTTGACATCCTTCTCTGACCTCTGTACACATGATGGGTGTGTGTGTGCCTTAATACCTCCCACACAAACTTAAGACGTATTAGTGGTTGCTGGCTGGCTATGGTGACACACTCCTGTTATGCAGCACTCTGGAGGCTGAGCAGACAGTCGAGGTAAGGTTTTGAGTATAGCAAGAACAGGGATAAGACTAAATTTTTAAAATTCAATTGGAAAAGCTTACAGAATGAATTATTAACATACATGTAATGGTCTAAGAAAATATCTACTGACATTTAACATTGCATTATTAAAGAATAGCAAATTGTTATCTTAAAAATTATTGCAATTTAAGCAATATTTCTCTGTTCCTGGTACTAGGGATAGAACTTAGGGCTTCACTCGTGCCTAAGCAAGTACTTCCCACTCAGGTTTACTCTCAGCCCCTTTCGATTTATTTTGCATCAGGGTCTCAACTAAGCTGCCCAGACTGGCTTTGAACTAACTATAGTTCAGGCAGGCTTTGAACTTGACATCTTCTTGCTCAGTGTAGCCTCTTGTGTAGCAGGGATTACAGGCCTGCATCATCTGGTTCTCTCTGTCTTTTTCTTCTCCCAGTTCTGGGGCTTGAACCCTGTTCTTCATGCATTTTGGGCCAACTGTCAACAGTTTGTGTTAAGTTGACAGAAATTAACCAGTACACTAGGCAAGCACTTTACCATTTAGCAACATCTCCAGCCCTTAACTTAGCAACTGTGAATATTAAATATTGATTGAAGGGGGGGGAGTGTCAAGAGATAGCTTAGCAGTTAAGAGCAACTGTTGCTCTTCCAGAGGACCTGGGTTCAGTTCCCAGCACCCACATGGTGGCTCACAACCATTCATAACTAGTTCCAAGGGATCTGACACCCTCTCCTGCCTTTACAAGCACGAAGAACAATTTTATGTGATGTACATACATGTGGGCAAAAATATTCATACATGCAAGTTAAATAAATGTTAAAAAATAATACAAAAATATAGCATATAACTCAAGCTTAGGAAGAAAACACATTACTTCTACAATATATGTTGAAGTGATTTTATTCTCTTAAGCTATTCTTTATTTACCTATTTTAAATTTAATTTGTTATTGGGGTACAGACAATTGAACTCAGGGTCTTGCAAATGCCAGGCAAACACTAGACGAGACCACTGAGTTCCGATCCTTACCACCCTTATTCCCTTATTTATTTATTTAGAAACAGGGGATCTTTAATTTCTTATCCTTCTGTCTCCACTTTCCAAGGGCTGCAATTGCAGACAAGTGCCATCATGCTGGGGATCCAGATCAAAGTTTTGTGCATGCTAAACAAGCACTCCATCAGCCGAACTACATCTCAAGCCTAGCTCTCCACTTTTTTTTTTTTTTTTTTTGGTGACAAAATTCTCTGTATAATCCTGGCTGGCCTAGAATTCCTATGTAGACCAGACTGGCCTTGAACTCACTGCATGCCTCTCCTCTCAAGTGGTGGGGTTAAAGTCACAAGCCACCATGGCCCAGCCTCACTATATCTTTGATACTTTCCATTTGTCCTCACAACCACAGATTAATAAGTATGTTTATTGCCCACTTATGCTTAAGCCATCTACTGTACCTCAAGTCCCTTCCTGCCATTCTCGTGTCTGCCTGCAGAGGCACCCAGCCCCACGTCCCTTTGTTTGTGATAAGCTTTGCCTCTTGGAGAACTAGGACTGTCATCAGGATTGTTAAGTCCGAATAAATTAGTATTAGTGTCATGCTCTTACTACTAGTTATTATTAATCTTGTACTTCTCACTCTTGTTTTGATTCTCTAGGACCTCCCATTTCACAGTCAAGCTTAATAAACAGCCGTGACCAGCCTGGGACAAGTGCAGTGCCCAATCTTGCACCAGTGGGAGCAAGACTACCTCCTCCTTTACCCCAGAACCTCCTTTATACAGTGTCAGAAAGTAAGTAAATGTCACTTCAAGAAATTCTTAGATTTTTGCTTTTTTAATTCAACAGATCAGTTTTTCATACACAGGACAGATGATGGGCCGTAAGTGGAGTGCCACCTGCAATTATGGCTTTTGGGCCTTGTGGGACAGGGGACAGGATGTCTTTCTATGTTCTGACGAAGACCCTGTGTATAGCTTCTGGAGATGCATCCTGTAAAGGATGGCAGTCCAGATTGGGTGGTGTACAGTTCCAGACCCTTAGTTTGAGCTGCTTTGAGTGTAACTTCCAGTCCAGTCATACAGTTCTGGTCCAAGGCTAGGGTCTTGGATTTTGGACTGCAGCTCTGTGGTGTCATTTCTGCCTGGCCTGGTGTCAGCATGATGTCGTCTAGGACAGTCTGGGGATTTGAAGGGAGACAGACCAACCCAAAATGTGTTTTTGATGGGTTGTCAAGATATGGTGGGTAAAGGCAGTTGCCACCAAACCTTAGGACCTGAGTTTGATCCCTGGGTTCCACATGGTGGAAGGAAATTTGCAAATTGTCTCTGATCTTCACACATGCATTGTGACACTGTGTGACACCAAAAATGCTATTGTTGCTGGCCGTGGTGGTGCACACCTTTAATCCTAGCACTTGGGAGGCAGAGGCAGGCAGATCTCTATGGGTTCGAAGCTAGCCTGGCCTACAAAGCAAGTTCCAGGATAGCAGGGCTCTTACACAGAGAAACCCTGTGGGGGGGGCGGGGAAGAAAAGGTTTTTTTTTTTTTTGGTTATTTGAGACAAGGTTTCTCTGTGTAGCTTTGCACCTGTCCTGGATCTCGCTCTGTAGACCAGGCTGGCCTCGAACTCACAGAGATCCGCCTGCCTCTGCCTCCTGAGTGCTGGGATTAAAGGCATGCGCCACCACCGCCCGGCATAGAAAGCTTATTCTATTGGGATGCATAAGTGTACAATTGTATTCATATTCACAAAGCAACTATGTCATATGGCTGTATTTTAATTTTGTGTGCTGGGTGGGGAGAAGCAAGGAGCCCTCTGCTGCTGTACAGTGGCAGTGTAGAGTCTCTTCATAGTGACTGCTGCAGTCACAACATTAAGCTTTTGCTAAAGGAATCTCTAAAACGTGGCCTGTCTTCTAAGAAGTATACAAGAATCAGGTAAAATATGTCTTAATAGTTGAAGTGAAGATAGAAAACGTGAAGTGCAGTGTTTTAGTGCATTTTAAACATTCATGTTTTAAGTATTTCCTTTGATTTATACCTTTCTAAAAACGAAATGCCTGGTTGATTTTGTTTTTGTTTTTTGAGACAAGATTTCTGTGTAGCTGTTCTCTGGCTGTTCTGGAACTTGCCCTATGGACCAGGCTGTCCTCGAACTCAGAGATCCCTGCCCCTGCTTCCTGAGTGCTGGGATTAAAGGCATGTGCCAGCCTGGCTTGATTTTATACATACCTACATACATACATACACATATATAATATATAATATACATATATAATATATAATACAATATACACACATATATAATATATGTATGTATAATATATATGTATAACACATATATGTATGTATAATTATATATATATTTTTTTAAGTTATTTTTCAGAAATATGTTTTAAAAGTTAATTAAGCCAGGCATGATGGCATACTCCTGTAAATCCCAGTGCTGGGGAAGTAGAGGCAGGAGAATCAAGAGTTCAAGGCCAGTCTCAGCCACATAGCAAGTAGGAGGCTGCCTTGGGCAACTTGAGCCACTGTCTCAGAAAACCAAAAACATTAAAAAAAGTGACTGTTTTACAGTGTCAGACTGTGAGCTCTTCCTTTACAGAAATGATGGCATGTTCACTTTTTTGTATATCTGTTCTTATAAATTTGCTTTGCTTCGGAAATGTGTCCTCATCTCTTCCATGTCGCAGGGGCAAGCAAGTAAAGTAGTCGGGCCTAGTTTAAGATCCTGGTGCTTCACCTATTCTTTCTCATCTAGGCCAAGTTAATTAACTTCTCTGTTCCTCAGTTTCCTTTTCATTACTATTCCTCTGAAGAGAAATGAATTTGTTTGTATTCCTGTAAGGCATCTAACATGTTTTTGGCATCTAGTAATCTGTAAAGGATTAGTTACATTCTATGTAGTTTCTATTTTCTAGTCATATTTTAACCTCTGAGAATAATGCCTATTCTTAAATCTCTGCCTCTGCCCTTGTCCTTGTCAATGGGTTCAAGATCCAGCTACTTATATGGACATCATCGTATGAGTGACACATTGTTGCTGTGCCACCCCTACCCCCCCAATGATGGTGGGCTTCAACATGGGCCTCTAGCATGCAAGACAAGCTCAACCTTGCTTTGCTTTTTAAAAAAACTTAGTTCATCCAAGTCCTTTTTCCTTTGAAGATTCTCGTTTGCTATATTTCCTCCAGAACCTCTCCTTTTATTCACATTTGCCTCACTGCACATTTGGATCGTTGGACACCATTATGCTTATTTAAGCCCCTTCACCAAGGTGTGGCACATAATATTAGTTGAGTGAATAGCTATTCCTCAGGCTTTTGTCATGAGAACTCTTCTTAGTGAATCATCAGAGACTCCTATCTCAGGCTCTGACTCTGGCTGTGGTTTACTTCTTTCCTAATCCTTTTTCACTGTTTCCCAACTTGTATAGTGCCTGTTCTCCTGCTGTGGCTCAACTTGCCTTTTCTTCTTTTCTGCTTTATAATATGCTTTCTCTTCTACTTCAGGGACCAAGTCTAAAAACTTGAGAAACATTCATCTTCTGTTTCAGATTCCTACATAACATACAAGCATTTGTGTCATAACAGTGCATACTTACATATATAGTCTGTTTGATTTTTCATTTATGAATATAAATCAGAAATCTCTGACATTTTCTCTTGTCTCATGGTCTTCTGATTAGTATCTTGACAGTGCAGGTTTGTTTTATTGTTGCTGTCAGTGTTTTTACTTATGAGAAATATCAAATAGACATAAAAATGAGGAGACTATTATGATGACCTGAGGTACGTGCAGTATAACAAAGATCCTTGTACCTGTTATCCAGCTTTAGTAGTGACCAGCGTGCCGGTTAACTCTTTTATCTTTACTATATTAGTCAGCTGTTAACAGTTAAAAGTGGCTTTTGTACTTATAAATATGAAAACCTGGATTTATTTCTGTCTATGGCAAATGGCATAATTTTATATTGTTAAATTTAGTGTTGAGTCATAGTAAAAATTCTGCTTCTTTAAAAAAAAAATCTGGCAGTTGTCCATTTGTTTTTATACCAAATTGTACATTGTGACACTATAAATACTTTGCTTGGTGTTATTGAGACAGGGTTTTTCTACATATCCCTGGCTGTCCTGGAACATACTATGTAGACCAAACTGGCCTTGAATTCAGAGATCTACCTGCTTTTACCTCCTGAGTTGTGGAATTAGAGCTATATGCCACTACACTCAGATGGTGTTAATTTTTAAAAATTTGGCAGTTGCCAGTAATCCCAGTGACATAGCTTAATATTCATAAAATATTTGTTCAGTGCTTACCATGTACTAGGCATGTGGTAGATGCTAGGGAGTGAGATGTGTAAGATCATAGATCTCAGGTCTTTAAAAGAAAGAGGATAATGTTTTAAAACAGAAATTCCAAACATTTGTTTTCCAGAGGCTGGTAACAGACCTAACACTATAGGACAAATTGTCAACTTCTTTGTCAGAACAGAGGACTGCATAGGATAATATCTAGTATCAGTTTCATCTTAAAAATACATTTTTTTTAAAGATTTATTTATTTATTATGTATACAGTGTTCTGTCTGCATATACACCTGCAGGCCAGAAGAGGGCACCAGATTTCACTACGGATGGTTGTGAGCCACCATGTGGTTGCTGGGAACTGAACTCAGGACCTCTGGAAGAACAGCCAGTGCTCTTAACCGCTGAGCCATCTCTCCAGCCCTTAAAAATACATTTTATGCCAGGCAGTGGTGGTGTACTCCTTTTTAATCCCAGCACTTAGGCAGAGGCAGGAGGTTCTCTGAATCTCAGGCCAGCTTGGTCTACAGAGAGAGTTCCAAGATAGCTAGGGATATACAGAGAAACACTGTCTCAAAAAACAAAACAAAACAAAAGCCCCCAAATTTAATACACAAAAGATAAAATCTTAGAATAAAAGCAATCCTTTTAATAATTACCATTTTTATCCCCAAACCAGTAAATGTGATAATTTCCCATTGGTATTTGTGTTTTACTACTTTATAGTCTTAGATATTATATCAGTATTTATAAAGAGAATTAATTTGTTGGCAAATAGAATATTAATATTGGATAAGTCACAGTTGTGTCATTAAAGCGACTTTGTGAATTTCCTTCCTTTCTTAAAAGCCTATAATTTTATTCTAAATATATAGGAGGAGCAGGGGATGGTTCAGTAAAGTGCTTACTGTGCAAGCCCGAGGCTCTGGGTAAGAGTCAGGGCGGGAGTGAGTGCCTGTGGCTCTAGTGCTCAGGGGAGGAGACAGAGGTTCATGAAGCACACGGTAGGTTCAGGGAAAGACAGTGTCTCAGAAATAAGAGACAGGATGGGGATGTAACTCAGTTGGTAGAGTGCTTGTCTACATTGAGTGAAGCCCTGGGTTCCAGGATCAGTACCACATAAAACCAGAGATGATGGCACATGCCTGTAATCTCTGCACTTATGAGGTAAAGGCAGGAGAATCAGGAAGTCAAGGCCATCCTTATTTACATAGTACATTTGTGGCCAACTAGACATACATGAGACCCTGTATCATTTTTGAAAAGGAAAACAGGTGGAAAGCAAAGCAATATAGAAAGACATTGATGTCAGCATTGATGAAGACATGCTTGTGCCCACATAAACATGTACATATACTATACACATAGTTTATAGAAAAAAATTAAATGGTATCTGGTAACAATCTAAGCATTTAAAATACAATTTCAGGGGCCTGATGAGATGGTTCAGTGTGACCTAAGTTTGATTCTCAAGACCCATACATGCAATGGGAAGAGAAAGCTAGTATAAGTTGTCTTCTGATCGACATATATTTGCATGTACACACACACACACACACACACACACACACACACACACACTCACTCACACTAAATAAGTGTTATACATTCTGTGATCATTGTCAGTACATAGGTCTGCAGTGGAAATCACATGTGTAAAAAAAAAATTGAAGGGACTGGAGAAATGGCTTAATGGTTAAGAGCACTGGCTGTTCTTCCAGAGGACCTGGGTTCAATTCCCAGCACCCACATGGCAGCTCACAACTGTCTGTAACTCTAGTTCCAGAGGATCTGGCACCATCATATAGGTATACATGCAGGCAAAACACCAGTGCACATAAAATAAAAATAAATACAATTTAAAAAATATTGAAAATTGGAGAAACATGGGGAGGTGGCTCAAATGGATAAAGTACTCACTGTACAGCTATGAAAACTGAAATTCAGATTCCCCAAACGGTTAAAGCCAGATGTGGTAGCACAATTCAGGTAGTGTATGCTTCTACAGTAAGAAGACAGGCAATTCACTGGACTCTTGAGGAACAGTTGGAGCACAGCATGAGACCCTGTTCTAAACACGGTGAGAAAACAAAGACTGATACCCACGGTTGTCCTCTGAGCTCCCCCCCCCCCCCAAATACACCCAGTGGCACACAGTGCATTGACAAGAATATGTAAACACAAAATATACACATAAAAAACCTTGAAGAATATAATAGTTTCAGTAACAGATTTTCAATATCTTTTTATTTAGTTGATTTTAATGTTTTTTTTCGTTCTAAATACTGTCTTTGAGACATAAGTTGAGCCCTTAAAATTGTTCAAGTTTTCATTTGTAAATAATATAATTGGTAATTCTAAAGAGTATAATTTGGTTTGTTCAAATAAAGTAAAGAGCTTTATGTATATTTTTAGTGTATTGGGAAATTTGAGGGGTTGGAGAGTGCTCCTTGATTAAGAGCACTGATATTCTTTGAGCACCCACATGACAGCTTACAACTGTCCATGACTCCAGGGTATGCGACACCCTCTTCTGCCCTCCATAGATACCAGGCATGCGTCTAACCAACTCACAGCCACCTTTCTTAACGTTTGAATTGCATGTTGTCTGTGGTTTTAAAAGTACATGTTGTATAAGTTTGTCCTTTAGTCTAGTTACTGGTTACATATACTAGGCAGATTTGTGCTGCATCGTCAATTTAAAGTCATCATACAGATTGGCATTACGTTTCTTTTGTTTTCTCTTGAGCATTGTGCCTCTTTGTTATTTTTCACAGAGAATTCTCTGTTGTAGGACATGATTAGGACTATTTTCAAATGATTGAGAATATATTGCTGTTGCAGTGTACTGATTGACTCTTTTAAAACAAATTTTGAAAGGATTGGTGTTAAATATGTAGTTATATCATCTGCTTTGTAGTGAGGTTTGTTATCTCTTTTTCTCCATACACGTGGACAGAGAAGATTGGAGATTTTAGCCTATTTCTTCTTACTATTATGAAATCAAGTGATTACTTTGTGGCCTGTCTTATCTCTGTGTGTTACAAATCTAAAGCAATTGTACAACTTGTAAAGACATTTAGTCACATAATAAAAATTTTCTAACTTTGCTTTATTATGTCTTAAGACCTTGTGGTATAAAATGTTAACTAAATCTTACAAATTTAAGTTTCATATGTTGTCAGGGAATGGTACTAAATAGAAACCAAAGGAAGATTTTATTCTGTGATACTTTGTAATTTTCTGATCCCATTGTTTAGAATTTGTGTCTGTATATATACATACGTGTGTGCGCGCATGCATGTGTGTTTGTGTTCCTCAATGTACTTTATTTTAAAACATGGCACCTAAAATCCAGAATCATTTCCTGTATCTAGTATTGATCTGTTTGCATTTTTCTTCATTTTTTTTTCTTATCACCCTCTCTGTGGTGATAATAAATTTCCATTACCTTTTGAATTTTCTTCTTGTGAACATTACTTATTCTTTGTGAGGCTATGGGTATGGTAGTTTGTTTTGTATTTCTTACTTCCCCCCCCTGCTTTTAGATATGCCAGTATATTTTGTGCAGAGTTGATATTTTGTTTGTGATTAGAGTGGCATGTGCAGGACAACCTTCATATCTGCACGTCAAGTATCAGATTCTTTGTGAACTATAGCTCAGGGTGCCTTTCTGTGACTTGATTGGTTCATTGTTCAGCTTTAGATAAAATTAGCATACATTTACTCCATTTAAGATTCAAAAAATAGAAAGCCAGGTGTGGTGTTGCATACCTGCAATCCCAGCACTTGGGCCATGGAGGCAATAGGATCAGGAGTTCAATGTTAGCCTCAGCTATGCACTGATTTTGAGGCAGGCATATACTACACAGAACCCTTTCTCAAGAGACAGAGACAGAGAGAGAGAGAGAACATTCTAAAAGGCAGATTATGCAATGCTAATTTCTTTGTACCTTGATGCATCCTAACCAGTTGCATGTCTGTGCTTTCTTGAGTTAGACTCTCAATAATGTCTTTCTCTGCTACTTGTTCCTGTTGTTGTAATTTCTCTGTTCTTGGCTCACAGTCTCAGGAAGTACACCATTGCCTCAGAGAAGCAAGCTTGTGACTCTCAATCCCAGCTGCCCTCCTATTCTTTCCTCTGTAGGACAGCCCATGTATTCTCGTGAACATGGTGCTGCTGCATCTGAGCGACTTCAGTTGGGGACACCGCCTCCTCTGTTGGCAGCTCGTTTGGTGCCACCTCGAAACCTCATGGGATCCTCCATTGGGTATCATACCTCAGTCTCCAGCCCCACCCCTCTGGTCCCAGGTAAGCTTTGCTTCAGATGGCCATCCACCTCACTGACCTTTTATACCTTAAACTGGTCAGCCTAACAGATGACCTGGCACTCTGACCTGTCCAAAGTTCCCATTAAAACTCTTAGGTAGAGTTTTTCTGTTTCTCTGCTTCTATGGTTTGTCCCTAGTGGTTGTTGATGATTAGGCCCTCTGTGTGTGTCCGTCATCTCTGTTGTCCTGAATATTTACATTCAGTGCCTTGGCAACAGTCACATCTTCCTTGAGATAGATAGGAAGATGGTATTTGCTTGAGTATTTTCTAGTTAATTACTTACATATTATGAGAAAAACTAGGGTAATTTTTCTTTGAAATAAAACTGCATTTCTGGTTTCTTGCTGGTGGTAGATAAACATAGTTTCTCTCTTCTACTCCCTGTTGTATGGACAGATTGCTCATAATGAATGTAGTGTTTTTGAAAGTTATTTCACCCTATTGACATATGTTTTGAAGATTTGTGCTATGCTTTGTTGGTATCTTGTTAGTCTCTTTATTTAAACTGATGTTTTCCTCACTTTGCCTTTAGATTCTAGTTTATAACCAAAGGACTTTTTAAAAAACAAAAAAGGGTCACTACATAGCCCAAGTTAGCCTTGAACTTGGAATCAAGATTACTAGGTTTGCAGGTGTGTGCCACTATGCCTGGCCTGACTGCAGAACCATGACATTTATTGGGGCTCTGTGTACCTAGGGGTCATAGAACAAGATCATTTGATTGTGTAGATTCCGAACCTTTTTGTGGCCTCAACTGTAGGAGAGTTTCTGTTGCTACTAGGCAATAATTGAAAACTTTGGACCATACTTTGTTGATTTGCTTAAAAGTTGAAGTAGTGTTTATTTTGTTAATTTTTAGAGTTGGCATGTGTCTTGGGTAGGGTTACTGTTGCTGTGATGAAACACCGTGACCAAAGAAACTTGGGGAGGAAAGGGTTTATTTGGCTTATTCTTCCACATCACAGTCATATCATCAAAGGAAGTCAGGACAGGAACTTAAGCAGGGCAGGAACCTGGAGGCAGGAGCTGATGCAGAGGCCATGGAGGAGTGCTGTTTACTGGTTTGCTCCTCATGGCTTGCTCAGCCTGCTTTCTTATAGAACCAGAATCAGCCGAAGGATGGTACCGCCCACAATGGTCTGGGTCCTCCCCCATCAACCACTAATTAAGAAAATGCGTTATAGCTGGATCTTATGGAGGCATTTTATCAATTGAGGTTCCCTTCTTTCAGCTAACTCTAGCTTGTTGATATAAAACTAGCCAGGACAGCATAACTGTGGAATTTGGTATTTTACATATCATCCTCAAACTATTGCTCAGATACTTAACATACTTAAATTTAATAAATAGATAAGATTTGTTTTTAAGCTATACTCCACTAAAGCACATGTTTCTCTTGATAAGTAATAATTCTGTCTAGTTGTCTTAAACAAGCAAAAAATTAAGGGCATGGATCATTCAGCATAATGCTTGCCCCCAAATCGTGAGGAGCTAAGTCTGAATCCCCAGTACCCACATAAACAAGTGGGCATGGTGACATATACCTATCATTCTGACACTAGAGAGGGAACTCCTGGGTTTGCTGGCCAGCCACTGTAGCTGAACATTCAATGAGAGACTTTATCTCAGGAAGTAAGATGTAAGGGATTGAGAAGAACACTGAACATTGACCTCTGTCTTCCACATGCGTGTGCACACATGTACTAGTCTGTACACAGAGAAACAAAAAGATGTAAGGAAGAACTTAGAGCAGGAGCTGATGAGATTCAGTATGACATCCAAGAATGCTCTGGCAGATTAACTATATGGGTAGTGAACTGAGATGGAGTTTGGTTGTATTAAGGCATTATCAGAAAGCTTTAGGCTGAATATAAGCCTTGAGAATGAATGTAAACTCTGTAATAGGAGCATCAGTGTTATAGTAATTTATTAATTTTCCTCAGCCATTCTCTGATGAGGGACCACAGATCACAATGGTGACTAATTTTCAAGATCATTTATCGTTTTATTATAGGGAATAGTTTCTAATCTACTGATGTTCTGTACCACACCATGAACTGTTTTCAAAAGTGGAAGGAAAGAAAATGAGGGGATATGTGAGTGAGAAGAAGCATTGGCCAGCAGTTCTAGTTCTGATGCCATATGTCTCAATCGGTTACCCCTTAGTGGCATTTAATTGTTCTAAACTTGGAGTTGGTGTTTTGTACAGGGAGAGTTTGCTCGTAGAATCTGAAGTTGGGGGGGAAATATAGTATTCAGGGCAAGGTTTAATCTAAGTAGACAGAGGCTGCAGAGTCATGCTTTTAGAATTCAGGAAGTTCCTAAGGGGGATTGTTCATTTTAAGAATTTATTTTATTTTATTTGAGACAGAGTCTCACTATATCACTCTTCCTGGCCTGGAACTTAACCATGTAGATCAGGCTGGCCTCAGACTTACAAAGATCCACTTGGTCCTACCTCCCAAGTGCTGATATTAAATGTGTGTACTCCCACACCTGGCTTATTTTATTATTTTTTAATTGTGTGTGTATATGTCTGGGTGTGGGTATATGCAAGTGAGTACAGGTGCCCACCCCACCCAGAAGAGGGTGTTGGATCCTTTGGAGATGGAGTTGTTCACATGTGGTTATGAACCAATCTGTGTATGTGCTGAGAACCCAATTTGGTTCTTCTGCAAGAATAGCATGCTCTCTTATCCACTGAGCTATTTCTAGCAAGTGGATCATTTATGAGCTTATCCTCTGTATCATATAAGTGGCAACCATTAGTAAAGATCTGAATGAACCTGATTGTGTAGCTTGAACTTTATATAAATCATTAAACACATTTTCCATTAAGAACAAAAGGGAAGAAACACAAGAACTTCTGAATCATAACTATGAAAAACAGTGTCTTCAATCTGTCTTACTCTGATTTGATGTAGAGTGAAGGGGTTATGTGCCATTTGGGTTCTCTGTCATTTCTTTCAGAATTGCTTTTAACACTAATAAAATAGTTACTAGGGTTAGAATTTTGTAAATGATTTTTTGTTTTAGAAAAAAGTATAAGAAATATGATAAAAGTACATTGGTGAATAATAGGGTGGTAATAGGTAATAAGATAATTATGAATACCTACTTTTTTTTTGTTTTTTGTTTTTTTGAGACAGGGTTTCTCTGTGTAGCTTTGCGCCTTTCCTGGATCTCTCTCTGTAGACCAGGCTGGCCTCGAACTCACAAAGATCCGCCTGGCTCTGCCTCCCGAGTGCTGGGATTAAAGGCGTGGGCCACCACCGCCCGGCAACCTACCTCTTTTATTTGAAATATGCTTTGGATAGGAAACCAGCTATTCTTTTTTCATCTTAAAAAATAAATTTATTTGTTGATTACAGAAATACCTAGAAATTGAGACACAAAACTCAGTAATCTTTGAATGAACAGTGTGTTCATGTATGTGAAAATTGGTAATGAAAATATGTATTGTTATTAGACTAAGTGATTGGTATACAGGGTAGACATGACTGAGTGGATTGAGAAGTAAACTTCACTGTTTGAATTTGAATGCTTGTATGTTTGTGATAGTAGTACTGTTTCCTTTTACTCGTAAAAGGAGTGTTTGGTAGAGCTCAAAGAGAAGTGTATACGGTTTGATGTCATTATGTTTTTTTGAAGAACACATAACTTGAACAGCTCTTTATTTTTAGTGGCAAAGGAATAGTTTGAGCACTCTCTGATTTTCTAAGTGTTTTTCTTCAGATACATATGAACCAGATGGTTATAACCCTGAAGCTCCTAGTATCACCAGTTCCGGCAGATCACAGTACAGACAGTTCTTTTCAAGAGCACAGACACAGCGCCCCAACCTGATTGGCCTCACATCTGGAGATATGGATGCAAATCCAAGAGGTGAGAATGCCCTTTTCTGATGATAAACGCCATGCAGCAGTTCATCAATAGCTAATACCTTTGTGTTTCTGCTCTCACTTGAGGAAATCAGACTACTTAAACTTTTTAAAGATATTTTATAATTATCTCAATAGTTTTTATAATAACTTCACTTCTAAATTTTATTTTAATGGTATAGTTAGAATATATTTCTTTTTAGATACAGAAAACAGTAATACTTTTTAATCGCTTTTTTGAATAGGACTTCAGAGCATTTTAGCTGTGTGTTGGGCACAGTGCTAGAGTTTAGATACAAGAAGGTGAGATGATTGGTCCCTTTCCTTCAAGAACTGATCAAAGGTGTATTCTGTATTTTGAGATCTGTAGCTTCAAACCAATAATGTTACAAGCCTAAACACTGCAAGTAAATTAGCATTTTATCAATTTACTCCTTAAGATTACAGCTATATACTCCAGCCCAGTGGCACATATTTTTTATCTGTGTGGAGGCAGGAGGACCACGACCGAAGATTATCTTTATATAGCAGGTTCAAAGCAGCCTGGGCCACATGGACCCTGTCCAAAAACAGAAAACAAGTAAACAAAAACCCCCAAAATAACATCTATGAGGATCTGCTTCAAAGTTTTTAAGTCACAAACCTTAAAAAGTCAGGCCATGACAGTTGTGGTGGTACATGCTTTTAATCCCAACACTCAGGAGGCAGAGACAGGTAGATCTCTGTGAGTTGTAGGCCAGCCTAGTTATATAGTAAGTTACAGGCCAACCAGGGCTACAAAGTCAGACCCTGTCTCAAGCTGCCCCACAAATCAAGCTAAGATTCAATAGAAGCATATACCTTTAATGTGAGTTCATTCCCCTCCTCGCTAATATGTTAATTTGTATTTAAAATAGGGTCCCATATAAACACATAGCTAGGTGTTATCTGACACCTGTAATCCCAGTCAGTGCTGAGCAGGCTGAGGCAGAGGATTGCTTGAGATCCAGGCTAGTGTGGGCTGTACAATGAGACCCAATCTCAAAATAAAGAAAACAAGAACTGTAGAGATGGCTCAGAAGTTAAGAACACTGGCTACTCTTCCAGAGGACCTGAGTTCAATTTCCAGCATTCACATGGCAGCTCACAGCTGTCTATAAATTCAGTTCCAGGGGATCCGGTACCCTCACACAGACATACCATGTAGGCAAAACATTAATGCACATAAAATAAAAAAATTGTTAAAAAAATGACAACATGGCCGGGCGGTGGTGGCGCACGCCTTTAATCCCAGCACTCGGGAGGCAGAGGCAGGCGGATCTCTGTGAGTTCGAGGCCAGCTTGGTCTCCAAAGCGAGTACCAGGAAAGGCGCAAAGCTACACAGAGAAACCCTGTCTCGAAAAACCAAAAAAAAAAAAAAATGACAACAAAGTAATATGGTAATATTGCATATAAGAAAAATCAAGATTGTTTATGATGTGAACATTTTGTTGGACCATGACAGGGGGTAGATAATATCTCTAACACTGTTTGATCCCTTATCAAAGACAGTAATTGTCATATATTTATATTGTTAAGTAGGTAAATTTATGGTACCATCTGTAAAATAATTGTCTTACTCTTCAGACATCTTTTTCCAATAACTTTCTTGTATTCATTGATGATCTGTGCTTGAGTAATTGTCACATTGGATTGCCTTTGAGGTTTTTTTTTTTTTTTTTTGAGGAATGGTATTGGAGCTACTTTATTTAAAGAATTGTTATAACACATTTAGTTTATCAGACTGCAAAATTTCAAAATATGGCACCTGCAGAACTGTGATTTGTGTTTTCAGAACCTTTGAGGTTTTAAGCTTGCATTTGAATTTTTTGAATTTAAAGAACAGAGACATTTGTAGGTTTTCTTGTTGATAGACATTTCTAAGAACGAAGTGACCAGCTAGACACAGTTGTGCATGTCTCTAATCCCAGCCCTTGGGAAAATGACCCAGGAGGTCAGTGATCTTGTCTTTAAATGAAACAAAAATAGAAAATGATAGTAGATGAATGCTGTCCACAGGACTTTTTAGCTTTAAACTAAATAATCCAGTCATTTGATGTTTTCCCAAAATATAGTAATGGGAATTTTTGTTTTCAACAGCTGCTAATATTGTCATCCAGACCGAACCACCAGTTCCTGTTTCAATTAATAGCAACATCACCAGAGTAGTCCTGGAACCAGAGAGCCGAAAGAGAGCTATTAGTGGTTTGGAAGGGCCACTTACAAAGAAGCCTTGGCTGGGAAAGTAAGATGGTTTTGCTTATTAGAAATATGTAATTGATGTTTGTGTTGTTTCATTTGTGTTAATAAAGTAGTTTAATTTATCATTAACCTTGCTGGGAGTGATGGTGCACACCTTTAATCCCAGCACTTGAGAGGCAGTGGCAGGTGAATCTCAGGGTTTGGGGGCCAGCCTGGTCTACAGAGTGAGTTCTGGGGTAGCCAGGGCTACACAGAGAAACCCTGTCTCAAAAAAACAAGAAAAGCTGGGCGGTGGTAGCGCACACCTTTAATCCCAGCACTCGGGAGGCAGAGGCAAGCGGATCTCTGTGAGTTCGAGGCCAGCCTGGGCTACAGAGTGAGTTCCAGGACAGGCTCCAAAGCTACACAGAGAAACCCTGTCTCGAAAAACCAAACAAAAACAAAAACAAACAAACAAAAAAACCAAGGGGGAAAAAAAAACAGATGGGAGAATTAACCAAGATTCATCAATGCTTGTTTCAGGCAAGGGAACAACAATCAAAGTAAACCAGGGTTCTTGCGGAAGAATCAGTATACAAACACAAAATTAGAAGTGAAAAAGATCCCCCAGGAATTGAACAACATTACCAAGCTCAACGAACACTTCAGCAAATTTGGAACCATAGTTAATATCCAGGTAAATTAGTTTTATCAGTGACAGAATGCATGTGTGCTGTGAGTCTTGGAAAGTATTCCTATCAGTTCTTGATTAGAGTCAGTGGTAATCTGACATCTTTGCAAGAGTTGTAAGTTCTGTTATATATCCAATGTGCATGTGTGTATAATGGAATTATTTAGTTGAATTTGTTCTTGAGAATTCATTTGATTCTTTTCTATAGTCCCTTCCTGAAAACACTGGACTAGTTCCTGTTGTTTTCAGAGGTCTTGGTCTGAACAAATGAACCCCCCGCCCCCATTATAATGTTAGTCTCTAAGAAGCTGAGATTTTTGGCATATTATCCAACACTAAATCAATTGTCGTGACAGTATAAGTTTTGATACCCACTTGTTAGTAGTTTGAATTTATAAATTTGTTGTTAGAAGTGAGGATTTAATTGAGTATATTTACATGCTAGTTTAAAGTTTCATGTCCTTAAATTTGTGTCCTTTTTCTCTTAAAAGTTTTCTGTCATTATTCTTTATGGCATTTAGAAAAAGAACTGGATGGCTTATTATACATAAGTAAAAAGTTTTCTCAGATGCCTATGTTTAATACCACGGGCTGAATAAACGTACAATAGAAATTTGTTCTATTGTAGGAGATAGTTTGGCAATTAAGAGGATGAAGTGCTCTTCCAGAGGACCTGAGCCACATTGGGTGGCTCACAGCTGCCTGTAACTCCAGCTCCAGGGATCTAATGCTGCTTGTACTTGTTTGCTTCAGAGGGATTCCTTCTTAGCTTGTAGATACCTGGTTTCTCACCGTCTTCATATGGCAGATAGGGAGGTGGAGAGAAAGGGAGGGAGTCCTTGGAGACCCTTTCTTCTTCTCATAAGGCTACCCTAACTTAAATAGTTATGGTCACAAATTTAGTACTTCATGTAACCTGAATTTTTCCCAAATCCTGTTCTCCATTGAGGGATAGGGTTTCAACATACGGATTTGGAGGCACATAATTTAGTTCATAGTACAGGAATACACTACTGTCCAAGTTTAAATTGTTCTCGTTATTTTCTTTAAAGGTTGCTTTTAAGGGTGATCCAGAAGCAGCACTCATCCAATACCTTACCAATGAGGAGGCTAGGAAAGCCATTTCTAGCACAGAAGCAGTTTTGAACAATCGGTTCATTCGAGTCCTGTGGCATAGAGAGAACAATGAGCAACCAGCACTCCAGTCCCCAGCACAGCTCCTCCTGCAACAGCAGCACACCCTGAGTCACCTTTCACAGCAGCACCATAGCCTACCACAGCATCTTCATCCGCAGCAGGTGATGGTAACCCAGTCTTCCCCCGCATCGGTCCATGGAGGTATCCAGAAGGTAATCATGTTTACTAACACTTTAGTCTCACTTCTCAGCCAGTATTTTCCGACTCAAAGCCCTGACCCCTTCCACATTAGAGTTGTTCATGGTTTGATGTATAAACCAGCATCATCTGCTCTCCTGAGACCTCATTATTTTAGAAGTACAGATTCTTAGACCTCACCCTCTTTACTTTAATTAACTAAGTACGTATTTGGTGTGGGTACGGGTGGGTGATGTGGGTGAATATAGGCCCAAACTTGACATTGTGTGTCTTTGTAGATCCTCTCTACTTTATTACTGAGGCAGGGACTCACTGAATCCCAAGCTTGCCAGTTCTGACCAGCTTCCTAAGGATCCTCTGTTTCTTCTTCCTAAGTACTGGGATTGGGTGACTTTTGTGTGGCTGTGGGGATCTAAGCCTGTCTGTTTGGCTTTTTATGTGGCTGTGGGGATCTAAACTCTAGTTCAGCTTTTATCCAGCCCCCTTACCTTCTGAATCAATTCCTCAGGAAATGCCCAGGAATCTGCTTTAGAAAGCTTTGTAGTGTCCTGAAGATGAGACAGCTGTTCTGTAGCGGGGTGGCTCACCTAGGTGTGACTTGTTGGACTTTGCCTGTAGGACCTATCCTCTAGATAGGAACTTTTAGAATCTGTAGTTTAAAAAGGATCTGTAGCGAAGCACAGGTACTATCTACCACTAAATTCTGAATCTGAGTTATCTCATATCCACCCATGTGTCCTACCCTTTCTCATGCAGATAGTTTTACTCATTTAAAAACTGAAATGGAGGCTAGGTGGTAGTGATGGCACACACCTTTAATCCCAGCGCTCAAGAGACAGAAACAGGCATATCTCTGTGAGCTCAAGGCCAGCCTGGTCTACATAGTGAGTTCCAGGACAGCCATGGCTACACAGAGAAACCCTGTCTGGAAAAAACAAAAACAAACAAATAAAAAAAACCAAACAAACAAAAAGTAAGAGTCTGTTTTTTGTTTTTATATATATATATATATTTTTTAAAGATTTATTTATTTATTATGTATACAGCATGTTTTGCCTGCAGGCCAGAAGAGGGCACCAGATCTCATTATAGATCGTTGTGAGCCACCATTCGGTTGCTGGGAATTGAACTCACGACCTCTGGAAGAGCAGCCAGTGCTCTTAACTTCTGAGTCATCTCTCCAGCCCTGTTTTTTATTTTTGAGAGGAGGACTCAGTTTGTAGCTTAGGTTGGCCTCGATATGGTCCTCTTCCCTGGCCTCAGAAGCACTGGATGTATAGTTACTTTTTCATGTCTAGCCAAGAATTAGGGTTTTGAGTCTTGCATTTATTTTGTCCTCAGTGCCTAAAAAATAAGTAATGCCTAGTATATATATATTTCTTAGAGCATTTGGATGAATAAGTAAAGGAAGGAAAGAGCTAACCACTGGCCATTAGAGCAGTTCAGATATTGACAGTAATAATTAACCATCTTTAGGGTAAATGTGTTCTGGTGAAAAAACAAAAGCAAGCAAACAGGGCATTGAGGCGAAGGCTGTCAAGTTTGAGGCCAGCCTATGCTGCATAGCAAGTTCCCATTTCAAAACACTGAAAAACATGTGCATGTATATATTCCTTGCACTATATAGTCTCAGTTCTGTCAACTGTTCCTGCTCATTAGCATCTAAACCATACATTTTTGTTTGTGTTCTGTTTGGTATTTGGACCCAAATGTGACTACTTGTCCTAGATGTTGGATGAATGGTGAAAGAATGTAGCCAAAGACTGTCTTTTCATTTCACTTCTATTTATACTGTTAAAAACCTGTCTTTGAGCCAGGTGGTGGTGGTGCACGCCTTTAATCCCAGGACTTGTGAGGCAGAGCCAGGCGGATCTCTGTGAGTTCGAGGCCAGCCTGAGCTATAGAGTGAGTCCCAGGAAAGGTGCAGAGCTACACAGAGAAACCCTGTCTTGAAAAACCAACCAAACAAACAAAAAACAAAAACCTGTCTTCAAAACATTGTATACTGGAGAGAAGATTTTTAAGTTCCCAGCAGTTTGCCTGTGTGTGGGTATGTGTGTTACTGTGAAATATGTATTTTTGGAGCTAAGGATTGAACCAAGGGGCTTGTGCACACTCAGCACATGCTATACTACTGAGCTCCTCCCAGCTATTATGATGTGTTAGACATCCAAAACAATGTGGATAATAAAATATCTGTATATACAGGTAACTGAAGCACCCCCTCATTTCAACTTTAAATTCTGTCTTAAATTTGTGTCATTCTTGGGTGTGTTTTTGTTTTTTGATTTTTCGAGACAGGGTTTCTCTGTGTAGTTTTGCGCCTTTCCTGGAACTCACTTTGTAGACCAGACTGGCCTTGAACTCACAGAGATCCATCTGCCTCTGCCTCCCGAGTGCTGGGATTAAAGACGTGCGCCACCACCGCCCGGCTTGGGTGTGTTTTTTTAAACTTATATCACATAGATGTTTATTTTGAATTTGCAGATGATGGGTAAACCACAGACCTCTGGTGCCTACGTTCTTAACAAAGTTCCTGTTAAACACCGTCTTGGACATGCAAGTACTAACCAGAGTGATACACCTCACTTGCTAAATCAGTCTGGTGGTTCTGGAGAGGATTGCCCGGTATGTATTTCTGTGACTTCATGTTTATTTAGAGTCATTCATTCAATGACATAAAAATTCATTACTGTTAAGATTTGTAGTCTCTTTCTCAACAAGACAAGCATGACATTTGACCTAAGTATACTTCCCTAATTAACATAGCTCAGTCAGGAATTTGCTGGTCAATTTGTTTTTATTTAGAGTTATCTAAGAATTAGAGAATTTTAGCTTTTAGCTGTTTATTTATAGGTAGGGGTCCTTATTAGTTGACCCTTTCCCCCATTATTACCACCACTCAATTTTTGAGACAAGGTCTGACTGTGTACCCCAGGCTGGACTCTGCTCATGATCCTGCTGTTTCAGCCTCCCAAATGCTGATTAAAGACATGTATTACCACATCTGGCTCTCATTTTTCCTTTTAGGTATAATTAAGAACCTAATGAAGGCTAGGGAGATGGCTTTTAAAGGTGACCTGAGTTTGGTTCCTAGCACCTACACTTAGCAGATGACAATTATAACTTGCTCTTGGGGATCTGATACCCTCTTCTGGCCTCTTTGGGCACTGCATGCACATGTGCAGACTCACACACAGACACACATTAAATTAAAAATAAATCTGAAAAAACAGTGCAGGTAATTCTGCCATAAAATCAAGTGTTGAGTGTCTTTCTTTTGCTTTTAGGAATATATCTGTGCAATAACTCTAGTGTAGTGGTTCTTATAAACAGCCAGAGGAACTCTGAAAAAAAAATAGTGATAGGGGATAATCTAAAAATACTATAAGGTCTGTTACTAAAACAGTTTGATGGTGGCACAGGAATTAATAGACAAGTGAAACAGAACAAAAAATCTAAAATAGACTTCATTGCAAAAGAAATTCATTATTGACTAGCTAGTATCAGATCAGTGAAGAAAATAATGGGTGTTTTGATCAGTCCTATTAGTATAAGTGGGTAGCCATATGGAAAAGATAAAATGACATATTTTTTTTAATTGCATCATTAAATCCCAAGTGGACTTGAGACTTAAATGCTGATGGAAATACTAGATTTAAACCTCATGAAATGAAATTTGGCAATGTTTGGCAAAAATTATATGTGTAATATACTACTCCTTTTCTAATAATGTGTACCAGAAATATAGTGTCTAAAATGTAAAGTACATATGTATAAGCTACTATAATTATAATCTCTTTATAATTATGAAAATCCCCTAAATTGTAGTGTATCCATACAGTAAAATGCATTTAACTTTACAAAGGACTGAGGAATACATTTTTTATGTACCATGAAGTATGTTTTAGGGCATAGTAAATTGAACAAAATGAAATTTAAAAGAATATAGCTGGCACCCAGGAGGTTAGGGCAGGAGAACTGTAAGTTCACCGCCAGCCTGGGATTCTTAGTTAAGACCTTATCTGAAAAAAAAAAATAGTAAATTAAGTAGTTTAATAACAAGAAAAGTGAAATGATGGCGTGGTGATTATGTTGGGAAAAAGGAATCCATGTTTTTTAGAGATAGAACTAAAATTAGTGAAATAATAAAATGTTTGTGGTAATAGTTGGGAATATAAATAAAATAAGATTATTTTTTGTTTTTAATGTATTTTTATTAAAAGTTTTGAGAAGGAACAATCATTAGTCTTTGTGGAGAGATGTTTAATAATTTTATGGTTTGGAAAGTGTTGACATTTTTGTCTCTGTTCTCATGATTATGGAATAATCTTGATTCTGTCTTGATTCATTGTAGTCATAACAGTAACCTTGTCTGATGTTGGTAGTTTATGATATTGTACTTAATAGAAGGACACTAAGGTCTTGGTTAGAAGCAAGCCATCTCCTATGGGTGAGGCCTGCTATTATTTTTCTCATAATTAAAATGTAAAAGGAAGGAAACATGGCATCATATTGAGAAACAGAATATTGATATTAACAATATATTTTTATCTTCGAGGTACAATTGAATTTATAAAGAACTAGAATTTATGTATGAAATGTGTTTGTTCATTTGTTTGGGACAAGGTAAGTAACTCAGTATAGACCAGACTGACCTAGAAGACACAGAGAGGTTAAAGGCACCATACCCAGCCAATGAAGTTCTTAAATATAAAAAACTTTTGTCTAAGCCAGGCAGTGGTGGCATACACCTTTTCAGTCCCAGCACTTGGGAGACAGAAGCAGGCTTGGTCTACAAAGCAAGTGCCAGGACAGCCTGGGCTACACAGAGCAACGCTGTCTCAACTCCCCTTACCCCACCCTCAAGTTTGTCTCTTGAATAGAAGCAGCTATTCTAAAACTGATCTCAAACATTTTAAAGATTTAATTTAATCATACTCAGGTGTTACTGTTTTTGGTTTTCACTTTTTTTTTTTTTTTTTTTTTAAGGTATTTTCTACTCCAGGTCATCCAAAACCAATTTACAGCTCCTCAAACTTAAAGGCACCTTCAAAACTTTGTTCAGGGTCTAAATCTCATGATGTTCAAGAAGTTCTTAAGAAGAAACAGGTAATGGTCTCTATTCTTCTCTGCCTGTTAGATCTTTAGTGCCTGTGCTAACATCTTTACATTCATGTTGCTCTAGAGCTGTAAGACATGCTGACTTTCTCCTCATTTAATACATGTAAAATGATGAACAAACTGAAAAGTGCTAGACAGTTACCTTCAGTAGCCACATTAAATACAAAGAATAGATTGTTTTGTTTGTTTGTTTCTGAGGATTAGACCAAGAGCCTTAAGCACACTGAGCTATAGCCGCTAATATTTTTTATATGCAGGAGGTGGGGTCAAGTCAGGGTTTCTTGTGTGGTCCAGGCTACCCTGGAACTTGCTTTGTAGGTCAGGCTGGTTTCTAAACTCAAGAGATCCTCCTGTACCACCAAGCTTAGCTAACCTTTTGTTTTGCATTCAAAGAACAGACAGTTTCTTTCTCTTTTTGAAGAATGGAAACCCCAGGGCCTGGCACATGCTGGATAAGTATTCTACCACTTAGCTACACCCCCAGCTCAAAGTATTTTCTTTTTCAATTCCTTTTTTTTATTTAAAGATTTATTATTTATTTTTATGTATACAGTGCTCTGCCTGCATGCCAGAAGAGGGCACCAGATTGCATTATAGATGGTTGTGAGCCACCATATAGTTTTTGGGAACTGAACCCAGGACCTCTGGAAGGGCAGCCAGTGCTCTTATCCTTTGAGCCATCTCTTCAGCCCTCCAATTCCTTTTTTAAAGTCAGATAATGTTTCACTAAGTATAACATGCTTATGACTCATCATATGACTCAGCTTTGAGTAGCATTTCCATTTTAGATGTAAGCTGTTTACATAGGGATTTTCATCCAAAAACATTTATTTATTTATTTATTTATTTGCTTATTTACTTACTTACTTTTTGGTTTTTCAAGACAGGGTTTCTCTGTGTAGCCCTGGCTGTCCTGGAATTCACTCTGTAGACCAGGCTGGCCTTGAACTCACAGAGTTCTGCCTCTGCCTCCCACTGCTGGGATTAAAGGTGTGTGCCACCACCATCCCCTGGCAAAAACATAGTTATATGTATTGTCTCCATAAAAAGATTTAATTTCCAGGAGTGTAGAAACAACATTTTCCAGGCAAAAAAAATTTTTTTGAATCCTGGTTATTCCTAACTTATAGCTGTATCTCATGTTTTAAAACTTGAAGCTTCAGAAATAAGGATTTGGCCTATTACACTGGAAAGTGAAAGCAGTTTGCTTTTATTTAAAGATACACAGTATAGATATAAATTACACAATTATACTGGAATTGTTGGGAAAATATAGTCAAAGTCTTCATTTCTGATTTTGGGTTTTTTGGTTTTTAGACAGATTGTTATGTATCCCAGGCTTTTGAGTCCTGGGCTTATAGACTTATACTAGCTACATCCCATCCCCCAGCTGCTGCTTTCATCTGTTTTCTATTTAGGAGGGAAAATCCATTTCAAAAAAGAAATGAATTGAGAATATAGCATTAGCAGATTTTTTTTTTTTTTAAATCCATTACTGACTTCCTTCTTTACCTTATTCAGGAAGCAATGAAGTTACAGCAAGACATGAGGAAAAAGAGGCAAGAAATGTTGGAAAAGCAAATAGAATGCCAAAAGGTAAAGTAAGAACTCATCCTTTGCATTCTGGAATATCATGTAGAATTTGTTTACAAAGTTATAATGGTAAGGCTTTAGGGCTTAAATTTACTTAGTATAGACTTACTTTTTTCTGACTATTTTGTAGATGCTAATTTCCAAGCTAGAAAAAAACAAAAACATGAAGCCAGAAGAAAGAGCAAATATAATGAAGACCTTGAAAGAACTCGGAGAGAAGATCTCACAACTGAAAGATGAATTAAAAACGTCTTCTGCAGTCTCCACACCATCCAAAGTAAAGACAAAGACGGAGGTATCCAATTGCATTTCTCCTTTAGCATGCTTACAGAACATCTGTGATGTGCTTGGCATGTTGAAAGTGCAGTACAATCCACGGGCAGCCCCTAAACTAGCTGGTAAAGTTACTGCTAGACTAGTGGGAGTGAAGCAGGCCGTTAGAGAATAATGCTGTAAGTTTAAAATCCTGTTTGGACAGATGCTGGTGCTTGGTAGACCTCTGGCCAAGTGCGTTTTAAACAGGTGTTGTACCAATGAGTATACATATACGCCAGCCCTAATGAGCTGTCAGTTTTGCCTTTCATATTCTTAGAGGCCTAAAACTTTATTTAGTTTTCAGGGAAGCTGGTTGTTTTTTGTTCTGGGGAGGTGTCTTTGTTTATTTGTGTGGTTTGTTTGAAACAGAGTCTTGCTATATAGCCCAGGCTGGCCTTGAATTTGTTATCCTCCCTGCCTTATAGCCTGATTGTGGTCATTACAGACATGTGCTACTGTAATGCTTTTTGTTTTGTTTCAGTTTTTTTCCACCTGAGACAATTTCTCTGGGTAGCCTGGCTGTACTGGAACTTTGTAGACTTGCCTGCCTCTGCCTTCTAAGTGCTGGGATTAAAGGCATGCACCACCACTGTCTGGCTGTGGGATAAATTAAAAACAAAAATTATTATTATTATTATTAATATTATTATTTTGAGATAGGGTCTCATTTATCCCAGGCTGATTTCAAACTCACTGTGTGGCCAAGGATAACCTTGGGCATCGGCTCCTTTTGCCTCCGCTTCAGCATCATTGACATGTGTCACGGCACCCAGTGTGGGACCTGAACTAGGGCCTTGTGTATGTCAGGCAAGTGCACTCTGAGCTACACTCCCAGCACACAGATCTCTATTTAAATGGAGTTTGTAGTCCTTTGTGTTGAAGGAGAAATTGATAAAATATAAGAAGGAAAAAGCTATTTCCTATTTTCAGCTATGCTGTGATCTCTTACTAATTGAATGTAGCCATTGATTTTGCAAGAGTAAAGATTTAACACACTAATTAAAAGAATAATCAGGTCTATTTCCTGGGAATGCTGGAATGGACCTGGCCAGAGTCCATCAACATGGCCAGTATTTAATTAAAGCTTGCTTCAAATTTGGCTTTAAAAACAAAAAAGGAATCAGAAATTCTGGATCCAGCTAAACCTATTTTTATTAACCTGTCCATTTTCTCACCCTAGAGAGCACTTGCTTTGCACAGAGGTTTCATTGTATCATAGCTCTGTATTAGGATTGTTTCAGGTTACTTTCAGCCCTTGAAGAAATGGGAATAAACTTATTATGTATATCTGTATACTTTTATATAAAAACATATACAGTATATTTGAAATTATACTTCTTTTATTAATTTAAGAATAAATTACTGGGACTGGGTGGCAGAGGCTTAAGCCTTTAATCCCAGCACTCGGGAGGCAGAGCCAGGTGGATCTCTGTGAGTTTGAGGCCAGCTTGATCTACAGAGTGAGATCTAGGACAGGCACCAAAACTACACAGAGAAACCCTGTCTCGAAAACCCAAAAACCAAAAAAAAAAGAAAAAATTCCTGGGCTGCTGAGATGGTTCAATGTTTGTTCAGAGCCTGAGGACCTAACTTCATTCACAGGCCCACAAGGTGGAAGGAGAATACTGAGTCCCACAAGTTGTACTTTTCACTTCCACATGTTCACTGTGTCACGTGCACACACTAAATATGGGGGTTTGTGTGTTCGTTTTTGTTTGGAAAGGCTAAATCTTAAATCAGGATTTCTTTTTAAAGCTGGATATAGAGAAACACTGTACTTCTAGTACTGGGAGCAGAAGCAAGAAGAGATGTTCACAGCCAGTCTCAGCTGTGTAGTGAGTTCCAGGCCAGCTTGTGTTACATAGACTCTGTCTTTAAAAAAAGATTCCTTTTTAAAAGCCAGGCATGATGACACGTATTTCTTAAAATGGGGAAAGGGACATTGAAAAATATAGTCCAGGAGCCGGAAAGGTGGCTCATTGGTTAAGAGCACTTGCTGCTCTTAAGGAGGACCCAGCTTTGGTTCTCAGTACCCACATGATGGCTTACAACCATCTGCAATTCTAGTTACAAGGGATCCAGTGCGCTCTCTCTCTCTCTCTCTCTCTCTCTCTCTCTCTCTCTCTCTCCCCCCCCCTCTCTCCTCCTCCTCCTCTTTCCCTCTCCCTCCTCTCCCCTCTCTTCCCCTCCCTCTCCTTATGAGGGTGCCTGCCTGCCTACACCCTCACCCCCTTTCTGTGAAAGAAGGTCTTTGGATGTTACTCAGGTTGGTCTCAAACTTGTAGACTTTAGTGATCCTTTCAACTCAGCCTTCTAATTATTTTAAATGGGACTGTAGGCGTGTGTTACCATATCCAGCCAGATGTGCCCTTTGCAAATTACAGGGGGCTAGAGAAACAGCAGTGGTTAAGAATGAATACTGTTCTTCCAGAGGACCCAAGTTTGGTTCCCAGCAGCCACATCGAGTGGCTTTCAGCTGCCTCTTCCAGGGAATCTGACACTCTCTTCTGGCCTCCTTGAGCATTGTGCACACCACACACAGATACGCACACAGATATACACAATAAAAAATAAAGAGCATGTGAGGGGCAAATCTTCCATAGCTACCTGAAGACCTGTACAATTTTATATTTTATCTAATTAATTAATTTGTTTTAAGACAGGGTTCCACTCTGTAACCTGGGATGGCTCTGATTTGAGGCATGCTTGCCTTAACTTCTGATTCCTGGGATTACAGGTGTGAGCCACACTCCTGGTCCTGTGTAAAGCTGATAAATACGTGCTCTATCTGGTCTCTGTTTGATCAGTTGTGTTTCATTATGGTGCTTGGGTAGCCCTTACACTTGCTGTCCAGCAGAGTCATTGTGCTGCCTGTGTTTGCAGAGTTATGTCTGTGAAGGTTCACTTCCTCAGAGCACCCATGTCTTTTCTGTCTTGTTTTTTCAGAGAAGCATGCTATTGTGTAGCTGTAATGCTCTGAATAAGATCTTAGTGTTTATAAACCTGAAGTCTCCCTCTTCACTGTTAACTTTTCCCAGGCCCAGAAGGAGCTACTAGACACTGAACTGGACCTCCACAAGAGGCTCTCTTCAGGGGAAGACACAACAGAATTACGCAAAAAGCTCAGTCAGTTACAAGTTGAGGTGAGATTTAACCTATATAACACCTCAAAAAAGAGATTTTTCTCTTTATTTACTTATGAAGGGATAATCTAACAATGTGCATTACCTTCTGTTTCTTGTTATTTAGGCTGCAAGATTAGGTATTTTACCTGTGGGGCGAGGAAAGGCTATGTCCTCTCAAGGTCGAGGAAGAGGACGAGGTCGAGGAAGAGGGAGGGGCTCACTAAATCACATGGTGGTGGACCACCGCCCCAAAGCACTCACAGTTGGAGGATTCATTGAGGAGGAAAAGGACGAATTGCTTCAGCATTTCTCAGTAAGTTTTTCATGGAACTCATGCTCACTCTAAAAACAATGCACTCAGCACTTTATTTGCTATAATCTATAAATATCAAGTGATTTCTAGGTTAGAAATCTTAGTTGTTAAAACTTGGACCTTACCAAATTTTTATTAATGTATTTTTAAAGGTCAGGAGGTATGCTCTGAAATTCCCTAATAATCTATGAAAACACATTTGTAGTGGGATAATGTTCCAAAGCCAGATTTGATTTTAGATTATTTCAGTTTACCAGGTATTTCTAGGCAACAAATTAATCTGGAATGGAGACAAAGCTCAAATTACTGAGGTAGTAAGCATGTTTACTCTATATACAGTGTTGAGACAGATGTTGCTACAGGCAAATAAACATGCACAGTATATTCTCTTCCCAGCCATTCATTAACTCATTTGGTAGACATTTCTGAATTAGAGTTTCATAAATGGGTTTATGTAATGTTAAATTACTATCAGTATAAAAAACAAGTGAAATATATAGTAACATCTTTTTTAAAGTTTTAGACAGGGTCTCAAGTACTCCAGGTTGTCCTCAGACCTCTGTGTGTAAGCAAGGATAACCTTGAATTTCTGATCCTCTTGCTTACATCTTGCAAATGTTTATTTAAATTACAGGCATGTATACACCACCACGCCTGGTTATAGGTAGTGCCAGGGAGGAGTGCTTCCTAGGCAAGCACTGTCCAGGTTGAGCCTCATCCCCAGTCTCCTGTGAAATTCTTTTCTTCAGATGAAAAGTCAAATCTTAAACTGATCACACAGGTGATAAGTACCAGAGCCAAGATAGCCAGGTTCCCCAGTCCTAGGCAACTTAATCACATTATTTATTTATTTATTTATTTATTTATTTATTTGGGGGTGTGGGTGATTGTACCACGACAAGCATGTGGAGATCAGAGAACAACTTTTGGGAGTTTCTCTCTTCTATCTTGTGGGTCCCAGGAATCAGACTGGGGTTATCAGGCCTGCTGAGCCATTTCACTGACCCCCTCCCCCCGCCAGAGCCAGACATCTTATTTGAGAAAAATATTTCCAGCCCTATTCTGTGTTAAAGATGGTGAGGCAGATCATGATGAGGAAGGCCTCACTCAAATGAAAATGTACATAGGTGGTGCTGGGGAGATAGTTCAGTTGGTAGAAAACATAAAGAACTGAGTCTAGATCCCCATCAGACATGTAAATCTAGGCCAGCATCTTATACCTATAATTCCAGTGCTGGGGCAGCAGAGACAAGCCCTGAGGCTTGCTGACTAGTCAGGATAGCCTGTTGTTGAACTCAGGGTACAGTGAGGCTCCTATCTCAGAAAAGTAGGAAAACGTATCAGGAAAGATACCAGTGTCAGCCTCAGTCCTCCACAAGCAATTTCACATCTGAACACATACAGAACCACCAAAACTAAACATACCACTTATAATATACAGTCTGGGGTATCTATAACAACGTAGGGACAATAGAACATTATAGGATGTGTCAAAAGTTGGCAGACTTTGGGCCTAGAGAGATGGCTCAGCAATTAAGAGCATTTCCTGCCTCCCCTCTGGGATGGTGGTTAAGACAAGTTCTCTCTACATAGCTCAGGTTATCCTAGAACTCACTGTGTAGACCAGGCTGGCCTCAAACACAGAAACCCACCCTCCTCTTCCTCCCAAGTGCTGGAATTAGGTGTGTGGCACCACTGCTGGCGGAAAGGCTTATTCTTGAAGAGGGCTCAAGTTCAGTTTCCAGCTCCTGTGTCGAGTAGCTCACAACTACTTCTTCTTCTGCCCCCCTCAGGCACCTGTAGACACAAGGCATACACTCACAGACCTCCACACACATACACATGAATAAAAAAAAATCTTTTTTAAAGGTAGGTAGACTTTTTCTGTAAACAGTCAAGTTGTGAAATATTATATAGGGTTTTGTGGCCCCCAAATGGTCTCTGTCATGTTTTCTTTTCTCCTTTCTCTTTCCTGTACTTTCTTTTCCTTTCTTCTGGTTCTCTTCTGTTCCCCTCCTCTCCCTTTTGGTCATTTTGCTTTTCCTGTGTATTTACATGCTTTCTTGCCTTGTAGGCCTTGCAGTTTATTTAGAGCATCTTCGGTCCAGACTAGCCTCTCAAAGCTTTCTGTGTAGCCAAGACTTACCTAGATCTCCTGTTCATCCTGCCTCCTAGTGCTAGGCTTATGGGTGTACAACACCAAACTGGCTTTGTTTGATTTTTGAGACTGGGTTCCACTCTATAGCTCATGCTAGCCTAGAACTCACAATATCGCTTAAGCTTGTTTCAAACTCATGAAATCAGCCTCAGCATCCTAAATGATGAAACCTGTACCTGGTCTCCTTTTTGTCCTTTTAATAACCATTTTAATAAAGTACAAACTATTTTTAGTTCATAGGCCATCAGAAGTAGAGTGCTGAGTGAGATACAGTGGTGTGTCCTATTGTCCTCGCATTTAGGAGCTAAGGCAAAAGGATCACTTGAGTCCAAGACGTGAGGTCTAGAAAACAGAATCCCATCTCTTAAGAAACAAAATCAGTGGTGGTGGTGCACACCTTTAATCCCAGCACTCGGGAGGCAGAGGCAGGCAGATCTCAGAGTTCAAGGCCAATCTAGTCTATAGAGTGAGATCCAGGACAGCCAGGGCTGTTGCACAGAGAAAAACTGTCCCGAAAAACCAAAAATAAAAACAAGAAAACAAAATCAGACTTCTCTGTTACATGTGGTTTGAGAACTGTAGTTTGCAGAGCTCTGGCATATGTTATTTTATTACTTTAAATATTAAGTGTAAGACATGTTTACATTAAGTGTAAACATTAAGTGTAAGTGTAAGTCCTTAAGTATGAAATATTGTCATATATGAATAGAACTTTATACATTTAAGAATCAAAATCAATGAGTTCAGGAAAAGCTTTTTAAAAAGAATATATTCTTTATGTCACAGAGATCTGAGGACAGTAAAGATCTGTTTTTGTTGGTGCTGCTTTTTTTGTAAAGATTTATGTGTGTAATTGTATACGTGTGTGTGTGTGTGTGTGTGTGTGTGTGTGTGTGTGTGTGTGTGTGCATGAATGTACATGTATGCAGATGCCCAACAAGGCCAGAAGAGGGTATTACATCCCCTGGAGCTGTAGTTACAAATGGCTGTGAAGATGCTGGGAACTGAAAGGGATCCTCTGGAAGAGCAGCAAGTGCTTTTAACCTCTGAGCAGTCTCTCTTGCCCTTTGGGTTTGTTGTTGTTGTTGTTTTTGTTGTTGTTGTTGTTTTTGAGATGGAGTGCTATATAATTCAAGGTGGCTTCAAGCTTACTACGTCACCAAGGCCTGCCTTGAATTAATGATCCTCTTGTCTCTATTGACCAAGTGCTGGGATTCTAGAATGTGCCACCATGATTGGCTGATGCTAAAGAGGTTTATGAAGAATTCTCATTAAGGATTTAAAGTTTAATCCTGAAGTCCTAGAGTCTTGTTTAAAGAGCACAAACAGGACAGGTACTTTTACACTCTCCTTCATCCCTTCTTGAAGAGATTTGGTGAGTGCATTATGGAAAATGGTTTTCCTAAGTGTTGGACTGCACAGAGGAATTTTTCAAGGAGTGGACACTACTAAGTTGTCCGTTGTTATTTTGAGGCAGGCTCTCACTCTATTGCTTTGGCTGGCCTGGCATACAATATGTAGATTAGTCTGGCCTCAAATTCAGAGCTCTGTCTGCTTCTGTCTTCCAAGAGCTGGGATCATAGATGTGTACCACCATTCCTGGCTCTAACCATAAAATTTTTAATTGTATAGTGTGGTTTATTTGTTGTACTCAGTGATGGAGGGTGTGGTACTTGGATTTTTTTTCTCCTTTCTTGATTACAAAATAACATATACTTGCCTAAAGATGCATCTGGCTGCCAAGTAACATACTTTGAAAATGTAAACTGTCTTTGAGTATGAGGTATATATGTATGTGTATATTCCTGTGTTTGCACATGTGTGTACATGCCTGTGGAAGCTAGAGGTTGACATTAACTGTTCTTTTCTCTGTCACTTTCCATTTTACTTTTTGAGACATGGTTTCTCATTGAAATTTGGAGCTTATTGTTGTAGCTAGACTGGCTGGCCAGCATGCCCCAGGCATCTGCCTGTCTCTGCCCTTGTTTCCTCCCCAACACTGGGGTTGCAGATGCTCTCTGCTGCTCCTAGTTTTTATGTAGCTGCTAGGGATATGAACTTGGGTCACCATGATTAGTGACATGGCAAGAACTTTAACCACCAAGCCATTTCCTCAGCCTCTATTTTCCTCCCTCTTACCGTCTCAAAAGTTTACATTTAGTTGTCTTGTGTATGTGATGTGTGTGGGCACACATGCTACTGTGCGTGTGTGGAGCTCAGAGGAAGGCTTTCAGGAGTTGGTTCTCCTTCTAGCATGTGGACTGAACTCACATTGTCTTACTTGGCAGTAAGCACCTTTACCTGCTGAGCCATCTCGCCCACCCTCTATTTTCTTTCCATTCAAGAATCTTTAGGGAGATTTTAGCATCACTTGAACACACAAGCTCCTACTCTATTTCTCTTCTACTTTCCTGCTATGTTGAGTGGTGGCTATCTTTTCCTCAGGCTGCCAGAATGTCTGCAACAACACAAACACCACAGCTTCCAACAAGAATGTCCAGAGGCAAAAAGGAGGGTGTGTTTCTTATGCCAGTTTTTAAAATGCCATCGTCTTCCCAACAAACTTTCTTAACTCTCCCATCCTGACTCACACCCAGTGGTATGCTTTCATGTCTTAGCCATAAGTATCTCTCTCTCTCTCTCTCTCTCTCTCTCTCTCTCTCTCTCTCTCTCTCTCTCTCTCTCACACACACACACACACACACACACACACACACACACACACATCTGAATTGATCTTTTCTGAGGGGAACCAGTTACTGTGATTAACTTAAACTACTCTTGAGTTGCCCTCTGAGCAGAATTGCCCTCAGATTCTGTTAACATGGAGAAAAGTTAAAGTTGTTGATCATGGAGCAGTATCTTTCATGGTGTTCACTGAAGAAAACTTAGATATCTGAAATATAGAAGGAAGTAAACAGCACCAACCTCAGATACCTTAGAATCTTGTGTGGGGAGTGGGGGGCTGCTTATGCCACGACACACCCATGTACTAGGAGGTCAACAGATAAACTGTGGGAGCTGGTTCTCAGGGATCAAAGACGTTATCAAGCTTGTGGGATGAATGCTTTAACTCATTAAGCCACCTTAGACTTTTGTTATTAATTTAACTTTGTTTTCCTAAAACATATGTATGTATATCATTTAAGTCTAGAAATGGTTGGGCAGTGGTGGCGCATGCCTTTAATCCCAGCACTCGGGAGGCAGAGCCAGGCAGATCTCTGTGAGTTTGAGGCCAACCTGGTCTACAGTGTGAGTTCCAGGGAAGGAGCAAAGCTACACAGAGAAACCCTGTCTCGAAAAACAAAAACAAAACAAAACGAAATAAGTCTAGAAATGTAGTTTAGTGGCACAGTGCTTGCATATAGTGGTACATAGCATGTGCAAAACCTGGGTTCATTCTTTTCTCTATATAAAGAAATAAGTAAATAAATAAAATGTCTTCATGGACATTTGCTGAGAAGTATTTAGAAAGTAGTCCTGAGGAAAACACTTAGGGGTTAGGGATATAACTCTGTGGTGGACCCTTGCATATTGTGTGCAAGACCCTGGGTTCAACCCACAATGATACCCGAAAAAGAGAAAAGAAAGAAAGAGAAGTTTTACCGTGAGTTGGGACTATGTGACTTTTTCTTTTCTTTTTGACCAGATCTCATTCTGTAGTTCAGACCCTTTCTGGAACTCAGAATGTAGCCAGGCTGAACTTGAAGTAATCCTTTCTCAGCCTCCATGGTGCTGGGATTATAGGTATTAGACACCAAGCCCAGCTCTAATTAACATTTGTTGAATATAAAGATAGGCAGTTCTGAGCACTTGAGAAAAGAGAGTGAGCATCATGGCACACATCTGTAATACGAGTGCTTGGGAAGCTGTGGCAGGAGTTTGAGTTCCAAATCAACCTGGGCTCTGTCAAGGCCCCATCTCTGGAAAAGAAGGTTGGGGGATGGTGTGTGTGTGTGTGTGTGTGTGTTTGTGTGGCTCTGAAGAGCTTTATCAGGCATAACTGAAAAATGCATTGCAGTGACTGACATGAGATGATTCATCTCAGAAATTACAGGATTTGAAGGTTTTATGTATAAATATCAAAGTCACGAGGTCAGTCATTGAAGAAAGTATTTGTTACCCTCATCCTGCCTTGCACAGTAGAGTGACTGTAACACAGCAGGGTTAAGGCACCAGACCTAGCGGTGCCTTGATCAATGGGCCCCGCCTTAACAGATCATGTTCCCTCAGACCATTACACTTTTTCAATAGCACAGTGTTTGGAGAAATCCTTAGGAAATAGGAGTGCATACTTACGTGTTCTTTTAAAATACACTTTAGGCTGCAAACCAAGGGTCAAAATTCAAAGACCGTCGGCTACAGATATCATGGCACAAGCCCAAGGTACCATCTATATCTACTGAGACTGAGGAAGAAGAAGTCAAAGAAGAGGTAAATTCAACCATTAAAATAAGATTTGAATTCCAGTACTTCCTCTCTGTTTTTCTTTATATCAAATACTGTACATTTAAAAATAGACACCTACTTTTCTTTTATTCAGTTAGTTAAAACCAGTCTAGAAGTAGTAGTCTCTTAAAATATCAGAAGTAATTTTGTATTTTTGTATTCTAATTAGTTTATTATAGAGAACATTGAGCCCACAATGTAAATTACTTCTGATTCTATAATCTTTTTATTTTTTTATTTTATTTTATTTTTAATAATTTATTTTTATTTTATGTTCATTGGTGTTTCACCTGCATGTATGTCTGTGTAAGGGTGTCAGAAGGCCTGGAACTGTAGTTACAGACAGTTGTGAGCTGCCATGTGGGTGCTGGGAATTGAACCTGGGTCTTCTGGAAGAGCAGTCACTGCTTTCAACCACTGAGCCATCTTTCCAGGCCCCTAATCTTGCTTTTTTAAAAGAATCAAGTTTTTCTAGTTAATGAAGTATGTTCTGACTATATGGACAAGTTTATATAACAAAAACAGGAGTGTTCCCAGGTTAGGAAGAAAGTAAGTCTTCCATGCTGGTGATGTTTGTAGATATTCCCATTTTGTGTCAGATTTTAGATTTTTATATAAGATGTAGAATGTCATGTCATGGAGAGAAAGCTAGCATATCTACTCACAAATCAATGATAGATAGCCCAGGAAAAACTGGAAAAGTTGCTGATTTTCCTCATTTTTGTTAATGGAGTAAAATCAGTTTTAATTATTTTTTATAATTGGCAGTGTGTGTGTGTGTGTGTGTGTGTGTGTGTGTGTGTGTGTATACAACACACATATATTGACTAACTCTTTCTAAATATCCACTTAATAGTTTGTTTTATTCTTTTGCTTTTTGAGACAGGATTTTACCCTGTGCCCAGGCTACCTTCAAACTCACAAAATGCTGCCTCAGTCTCCTGAGTGCTATTATAGGCGTGTACTGAGATGGCTGACTTCCACATAGCATTTTATTTTCTTAGTGTTATTGGAATGGAAATCTCCTATTAATGTTTTCAATATAAACAGAGGATAAATAGTAATATCCATTTTTAAGGTGTATTCTGGGATATGGGGAGGAGAAATGGGTTAGAAGGTACAAAATCACAGCCAGATAGGAAACAAAGGCTCTAGTATTCTGTTAGAGAATTAGCCACATTATATTGACAGATCTCCGTGTTGTGTTGCATAATTCAAGGTCACTATTAAGAATGTTGAATGTTTCCATTACAAAGAAACAAACGTCTTTGTTGTATCTGAGTTGATCATTTGTTTAAATGTGGCAAGATACCACACTATTCTCCATATTAAAAGATTGGGGTTGTTGGTTGGTTGGTAGTTTTGTTTGTTGCCCTGAAAATAAACTACTTGTATATTTTTGTAAATCTGACCTGCATTTTAAGCTAGTCTGCTTATCAGGTGGCTGTTTGACTTTGCATTTGTGCACAGCTAAGCAGTTGTACTCTTCTTTCTTTAGGAAACAGAAACCTCAGATTTGTTTTTGCATGATGATGATGATGAAGACGAAGATGAATATGAGTCTCGTTCGTGGCGAAGATGAAATTTGATGCGAGCTGTGTAATTTTTAGAAATATTGTTTAGAAGAACAACTTTTTAAAATTATTTAAAGAAGTCAATGAGCCAAAAATTTTTTTTATTTTTCTCTTCAACACAGTAGGTTTAAGGACAGCAAGTTGCTATTCCAACACATCTCATAATTGTCTGAGATATCAGATCACCAAAGGCCATGACTTTGTGCAGTTGTGAAGATCCGCAGGAGTGACCGGATTCTCTAGAACCTTACTTTCCACACCATCTGTTTCTGCTCTTGGTGCTGGATTACAATGTAAAGACAGGGTGTTCAGAAAGTTTATTTTGGATTATAAATCTGCTGATAAAAATTTCATTAAATGTCAAAATCGCCTGGAATCTCTTAACTCTTAGCTATTATGGATGGGTCGTCAGACAGTAGAAGATATTCCTAATTTAAATACCCTTTTCTTTCAAGGATGAGCTTGGAAGAAAAGTAAATTTTTTTTTTTTTTTTTACTATGAAAGAGCCCACTTTACAATAGTCTTTCGGAGTTTATGTGCAGCAGTACCTCAGTGAAACTACCATCTCCGTCACAGATGCTGCAGAGCGCTGTAGCTGCCTCTGTGGTCCTCTGCCTCTCCTCACACTCGCTCCGGGGCTTCTGCACTCATCCTTCCTTGCTTTGATAAGTGGTGAGCATCGCTTCAGTTGGTCTTCTCTCTCTTTTTTTTTTTTTTTTTAATAATTTTCAGTTTGCCTTTTATCCCTTCATTCATTCCCCTTATTATTCCTCATCCCTTTTAATTAATAGGCCTAACTTTTTAAATAAGTGATTGAGTTGGGCAATCAAGAATCAGTCATCAGAAAAAGGTTTAAACCAGCACCTTTATAAGTAAGTTACCTTTTGATAAAAATAAAGGCAGAATTTTAGGGGAAAGAGTTACTCGCTTCCCTCCCTTTTTGAAGCTTCAGCGTAGTTCTAGTTACACAAACGGGTTAAAGATATCTGAAGTTCTTTTCCTAAATTGTAACCATGATGGAGAGGTGCTGAGGTGGGGGTTAGGAGTCTGCATATGCTAGTAATAAATGAGATTCTAACTTGACATTGATCAGATGACCTTATATTTTCATAATTTTATAGATGTTGCTGTCCATGAACATACGCATACTTTAGTAGGCAGTTTCCTTTACTGTGTGCTTTTTTACTGTACACTGTACAGAGTATCTGTTAGGTAAAATATACGTGTAAATTTATGTCCTTGTGTTCTGAATGTTAGATGGAAAAGCAGAGGAGCAACACTACGCTGTACTGACTACTGGGGAAATGAAATGATTACTGTACATAGGATGTCACTTTTTCAAGGAGATACACATCTGTGTTTTTATAATATGTGTGGTGTGAAATTTGAAACTTCCTGTTGGCTGCAGAAGGTTCTTGGTGATCACTAACTGTGTCAGGGTTTTGTTCCCTGAGGTAAAGACTGTTTCTTAAAATAGAAATAGTTCACTCAGAAACCTAAAACCATTAGGACTCTAGATTTACATAGTGACAAGAAGTTAGATCCCACCTTCTGATCATCTTTTTTCTCTTCATATTGTCTTGGAATGACGTGTCAAACATCAGGATCCTTTTTAAGTTTGTGTAGTTTTCCCTTTGTAGTGGGACTTCCTCTCCAGGTTATTTTTTTCTGCTAACACCGGGGCTGAAGTGAGCCCACAAAGAAGGAACACGTTAGAACAGGGAACCTGCAGTAAGCATCTTGCTCCTTACTTCTCCATCATCTCTAATGAAATTTTCTTGATGTCTGTGGCTCAGTCAGTATATATTTGGAAAGATTCATTGTGGTGAATATTTTGAGTCCTGACCATTTAAACGTGATAGAGGGAACAAAGGATTTATATATTTTTTGTACAAAGTTTTTTCTTAAACTGTATAATTTTGTAAATAATTTGTTTGGGTTTTTTTTTCTTTTGTGTACTAAAACTACCAGCGTATAGATTTCAATAAGAATTGTTGTATTTTTGTATTTGGAAACTGAAAATAACAGTAAATTAGTGAAGCCGTAAGAAAGTCTCCATAGACTGACATTCAGCAGAATGAGATTCCTTTTCATATGATTTTTTTTTAACCTTAAAATTGACATCTTTATACACTCACTAGAGAGAGTTGAGGATTTGTTTGGCTTTTTAGTTATTGGGGGCAGAGGATGAAAGAGAAAGGTGCTAATGTGAAGAATAGATCATTTTTCAGTAAGGTTTTTGGTCCTTAGTACAGAACTTGGGTTTTCAGTATTCCTAAATAACTAAAATTCTTTTCCAATGTGTTTCACTCAAAAATGAATTATAAAATAGAGATTAATTATACTAAGGTTAGCATAAATTAGCTGAATATGTGTATGTGTATATCTCTCCCCTTTACCCCCATCCACCAATCTCCGACTGTTAGAATTCCACACCATGACCTGTTTTCTTGGCATCTTTGTTTATAGAGATAACATTTAGCATTTGAGGCAAATTCTGCTGTTCCTAGTATGTGCTCCATGTAGCCAGTGACTAGGTCAGTCAAATTTACTAGATTTCTGCCCAAACCTAAAAAGGTAACCCCAAGGAATACGAAATTCTTCTCAGTTTCTTCTTGAAGCATTGGGAAAATGTCACCAGCTGAGACATTGGGAAACAGTCCTTTTATAGTGAAAAAGATCTGTGGTGATGGATGATTATTTCAAAAAGAAAAAAATCATGTGAAAAGGAATAGTGTTTCCTCTTGATGTATAGTATGCCTGTATTATAGTTTTTACAAGATTGTGAACTTGTGTAATAGTATATAGGAGATATTGTTGGATTTCTAACTGTTTATACATTTAAATTCATATATGTAATGTTTGTTTTATCGATTACAATCTGAATTTCTAAGAAGCATGTTGACTTTTGCAATAAAGATGCAATATGGAATGGTTCACAATTGGGGGGAAAAAAGAAAAAAAGATGAAAATATTACAAATTTAAAAGAATCTGGAAAATTTATGAACCATTCCAAAAATTATAACAATCACTAAAAGAGCTGTAATTCTGGCTTGTTCTGGAAAGAAAGAAATGTGAATGTGAGCTTGCTTGTGAGCCTGAATGAGTAGTGGATATTCGTGAATGCTTTATGTACATGAGAGACTGTTGCTTAATATGAAGTTGGATTCAGATCCACTGGTTTAAATATTGAACGGAATTATTCCTTCAGCAAGGTAGTCTGGACCACAGAGGAGCATGGCAGCATATGCCTGGTGTCCCTGCATGGGAGTCTCACCAGAGAGTCCCAAAGTGAAGTCCTAGTTCAGAAAAAGAGAGAGGGAGGAAGACTGGGAGAAAAATATGCCAGTTCAGCTAATAAGTAACTTTAGAAAAAGAAAGAAAGATTGACTGATTTTATTTTATGTGTGTGGGTGTTCTGTCTGTAAGTATGTCTGTATACCACATGTGTTTATTACCTACAGAGGTCAGCAGGGGGTGTCGGAGCCCCTGGAACTGGAGGATAATTGTTAGCTGCCATGGTGGGTGCTGAGGGTCCTCTGGAAGTACTACTGTACCATCTCTCCAGCTCCCTGATTAACCTTTCATAATCATGTTTTTGGGTTGTGAATAAGTTTATATCTTGAAACAAAACACAAGCAATTTAACAAAGACATTTATTTTAGTACTAAAGACGTTCAATATGCCTACCAACAGTAGGAAGGATATTTAGACTAGGAGAAAGAAAAGGGCCCTTCAGAGAAGATGGATCACAGACGTATCAGGGAGCACCAGGATTCCATGGTGAGAAAGAGTACAGGAAGTATGTTACTTGGACACCTATTAATTTGTAAGTTGATATTATAAAATACCCCTCCAAGTGACTATGCCTTCTCTAAGAATGTTTTTTTTTCTTCAAGAAAATACTGAAAAATGGTCCATTCTATTCTCACCCTTTTCAGAAAATTAGAAGAATGTCTATATAATTTGACTGGCAAAGGAGGTGCCTGTTAACATTTGTTTTGATTAGATCATAGATGATCCCATGCGTATGTGTCCAAATTGTATGTGTCCAAAAGGAACACCGTTTTTTGCTAAAGTGGAGCTCTGGTTAGCAAAAATTACTGGTTTTATTGATGTTTTTTGTTGTTTATTCCTGATTCTGATGTAAATTATACTAAGGCAAAAAAAAAAAAAAAAAAAAAAAAAAAAAGGATCAGTTTTAGGTTATGAGCCCCAGATAAGACCTAGTCAGAATTTAGTTATAGTAGACATGATCCTGGAGTGTGTGTCCAGGTTGGTTTACAGTAGAGCACATTGGATCACATTAATTTCAGGGCAGACCTGCACATTTTATATTTTCTAACTTTAGGAGCTAACCATCATTGGCTCAGACTAACACTGCTATTATATGTGTTAAAAATCACTTTCACCTCTGATAAATTGATATAACTAAGAGTTGGTGTTTCAAAGGATCATCTGCCATGTGGCCTCTTACCTGCTTACCTGCCTTGGGTTAACCAAACCTTCCCAGCAGTCTGAGACAGGTGACTTGATACAGTCACAGTTAAGGTCAAAATAGTGTTTATTTTTAAGATTTTTTTTTTGTCATGGAAGTTGTTTGGTAGTCTAAGATAAACGTGTAAAACGTTGCTTTTATGTTTATGTCAGATTCTGTGTGGGTGTTTTTTACTCAAAAAAAATTTTTTTTTTTTTTAGCAATTTTAGCTTTGCTAATATCTCATAAAACATTGTGACTTCTTCATTCACCCCCAGACCGCTGCTGAGAGATGCCGATAACATTTCAGTTAAATAATAGCAAGGACTAATCTGGACCTTGCCATATTAGTTTGTTCCTCAAGGAGGAATGAGGCTGCTCATAGGCTGTTTTTAGTTCGTAGGCTACATGCTGTCCATCTGTAAACGTGTATCTGAGTAAAGTTAGATTTCAGTCTCTGAACTACCACCTCCCCTCCAACTAGAGTTACTTGCCGTGGGATTTGGTTATTAGAACCTGCAGGGGGCTCCAAAGGGCAAAACTTAGGTGTGAAACAGTGGCGGCCTTCACAGCAACCCAGACCTGTGTTCTCCAATGTGAGCTTCTCTTAGTGCACATCAAACAGAAGTTCACAAGTACTTACTGTGCAGAGCGCACATGCTTCTATATTAGACAAAACTTTATGTCTGAACTCCCCTTGGGCTCTCCAGTGGTAGTTTGGAAAACGAGTGTATTGGGTTACAGGATGAACTGCATCTCTAAATACCTTCTCACTGTGACACCATCAGTACCATTTTAAATACTACATGATGTATTTTTTTCGCTTGGAAAAAAATTCTAGGGTCCAGAGCTGACCTTCAGCCTAAAAGGTGAAAGGGGTCGGTTGCATAAGCTTCTTGGTGCTGTCACCTGAAAGGTATTTTTTAATCCTGGGCTTTAAAAGCAGGCTCTTCTGTGAGCCAAAACAAACCTGCCCCCCTCACCCCGCAAAAGCACCTTGTAAGGACCTCTGGGCCATTACTGTCCTTCTGTTTGCACCCTTCTCTTGAGATGCATTACAGTCCACTGGACTTGGCACTGCTGCTTAGGTAGTTGAAGTCACTGCAGGAGTTATTTACATATATCATATGTATATGTATGTGCATATGAGAGCTGCTCGACACGACTGTGTGTTTAAATATGATAAATAAATTATTTTTCTTTGGATTTAATTTCGTACTTAATTTAGAGTTTATCTTAGCCGTCAACGAGTTTTTATATTTGTGATAAAATTATACACATTCTGACATTGTGCAGTGGGATTCTACTTCAAACAGTTGCTTTTAAGTATAAGAATTACAATAGATAAACCGATATATTAAAAATAATCATTCATTTTTCCCCCTCTCTTTTTAACATCTGAGTATTTACTCTTTGTTTCTCACTTGAATTCTTTTTTGCCTATTAAAACTTAATTTTTCCCATTAATTATCCGGTAATACTGTTCAGAATCATGAGAGGAGGTGACATTTCAGTTCATGCACAGAGTATACTCGGTGAATGGGGTCCATTGGGTCTGTGTGGTAGACTCAGCACTAATGGTATTGCAAGCTTCTTGCACAACTCTTGTTTATAAACCTCTTGTCCATGTGCCAGTCATACTCCGTAGGCAATCAGGTCACACTTCCTTATGCTGCCATGGTACCGTGGCAATATTTTTTGCTACTTTAAAACTTTTTGGAGCTGGGTGGCAGTGGTGCATGCCTCTAATCCCAGCACTTGGGAGGCAGAGCCCGGCGGATCTCTGAGTTTGAGGCCAGCCTGGTCTACAGAGCGAGATCTAGGACAGGCACCAAAACTACACAGAGAAACCCTGTCTCGAAAATTTTTTGGATGACTAGTTTTGAATGCAGACTGTGACTCAGGGCAGAGCAGTTGCCTGCTTTCTATGCCCACAACTGTTGGGGAAGAAACGAAACGCTTATGTCCTTGCTTTTAGTCTTGAAAATTCAGTTTGGGAAAGGGATAAGAGGCTTCCCCAAGGCCACACACCCCGGAGTACAGGGACCAGGATTTGAACACAGGTCTGTCTCCAGAGCTCATGTCCTTGACTTTTGCACTCTGCTGCTTCCAATACAGTGGGATGCTGCAAGTCTGTGGGATGTCACTGATCTTTATTACTGTCAAATACTGTCATCTTACCTCCCGTCTCATATGCCTCAGACTGGAACCAAGCTTCCCCAGGGGACACCACCATACTTTTAGATAGCGTATTTGGAACCAGGGAAAGCAGTGTTTATTCATGCTAATTTGTGGAGAAACAGTTTAAAGTAATCAGTTTCTGTGACCTTTGCAGTGTACAGCCAGCCAATTTGATACATTTTACAATAATTTGGCTATATCATAACCTGTTTATTTTATTTCCAATCTTATCTTAATATTTTTCCTGTGGCAAACTGAGTTATGATAATCTCACAGTATTTCTCTATTGCTTCTCTGTGTTTTTCAATATTTCTGGTGCCTTCGTTTAACCTTGGCATTTAGAAAATCATGTTGCGCATAAATGAGTTGACATGCTTTATTGTTGTTTTCATATAGTATACTGAATTTTCTGGACAGAAAGTGCTGAGAATAGCAGTGTTCATTTGTAGTTATGTTTATACCTTTTTTTTTTTTTAAAGAACAATCTTACTGAATTAAAAGCAATAGTCACATCGTGGTTCTGTTTATAACTATTTGCCTTTATATGCTCAGCTTTATTTTAGAACTACTATTTTAAAACCTTGAGGATTTCTACTTTTCACTATTCTGGCCACTAAACAATGTTTACTGAGTAGTAATTTTTATGGTATAATTGTCAACTGAAAGAAAAAAAGAAAGTGCAATCAGCTGTGAGGGGGAGAAGACTTTTAGTTTTTGATAGCACTTGAGAAAACTAGACCTGACCTAACTGGCCCAATGAAAAGTATTTTTCTTCAGAAGTGTTTGTGTGTGTGTATGTGTGTGTGTGTGTGTGTGTGTGTGTGTGTGTGTGTGTGCGCACATGTGCTTGTGAGTGCATGCACATGGGTGTGCTCGCGTGTGGCTGCCAGAAGTAGATGGCAGGCGTTGTTTTGTATTCCATCCCTTCCATTTTTGATGGCAAGTGTCTCCCTGTATTGCATCCCATCTCATTTTTCAAGACAGGATCTTTCATCAAAACTGGAGCTCACCGATTTGGCAACACCAACTACCAACAAGCTCCAGGGATACCCCTGCCTTCGCCTACCTGGTGCTGGGATTATAGGTAGGGCCTTTAAGGAATGTACCAGGGATCCAAACTCAGGTCCTTGGCTCAAGTATGCTACCGACTGAGCCCCTGTTGGTAAATTTTGTGGGCACAGGGAATGTTTCCAGCATGACACTGTTAAAAGAAATCGCTGAGACAAAGGAGAATTGACTGTAACTTCCCTACTGCTAATATAGCACTTGCTTTCACAATGGTAATTCTTCCTAAAAATACAATCGATTATGTCATGTTTTAGAAAATACTTCCATTGTTAAGTGCTAAAAGCACGAGCCTATTGCTACATAGCTGTCCACAGCTCTGCTGTGACATGGTAGGACAGACCACACAGACTTACTTTCTTAGTTGTAATATTTTGACTTAAAATTTTTCTACCAGTGACTTTGAAACACTTCTGACTCTGCAATTTACTTAAGTCCTAATAAATTATACATTTCTGTAGTTTAGCTATTCATGTGAAAATTATTTGGACTCACTCAGAATGGTGTGTGGTCTCTTGTGTGTCAAAGAAGTTTAATTCACTCTGTTTTACACTTTCAAGTAAATACTACTGGTAAGTCAGATAAAGCTGAAGAAAACATCTTTAAACGTTGACGTAAGTCATTAAAATTTACTTATGACTTATATAAGGACCTTTTTTAGGGAAAATTTTTGTGTTTCTGGTACTTTGGGAAGGCTTTTTGGGAGTCGTAAACTCAGAAGTGGCTGCATCTAAAGAGACAAAGGAGGGGGCTGGAGAGATGACTCGGTGGTTAAGAACACTGACTGTTCTTCCAGAGGTCCTAAGTTCAATTCCCAGCAACCACATGATGGTGGTTCACAACCATCTATAATGAGATCTGGTGCCCTCTTCTGGCCTGCAGACATATATGCAGACAGAACACTGTACACATAATAAATAAATATTTAAAAAAAAAAAAAGACAAAGGAATCTGGGATGTTCAGATGTGCGTGGAAAACTGAGCTGTGGAGAAACCGTTGCACATCTGTTCGGTCTTGTGTTTTATAACCAAGAGGAGTGTTCACCTTTGAGGTCTTCTTGCCATCACTGGTATCAGATCAGGATTTATAGACTCAAGTTGGCAGGAACGGTTACAGTAAGTTTGGTGGTTTTTCTCTTCACCTGCACACACTCCTGAGAATCCAAAGGAAACCTGTGTGTTTAAGGAGAAAGCGTAACTAGCTGTGAGTGTGTTCAACTTTGTGGGGGTTATCATCCTGTACCATTCATGTCCGGCAGCATAGGGAGAAGGGGCGGAGGAGTGCGATGTGTGTCATAAATAAAATTAAAACAGATGAGAACTCGAAGCATTTTGAACACTCCCTTCAGAAATCGTTCAGTAAATGACTCAGTGAAGACCCAAGAGCTAATAAAGAGCAACCTATCCATCTCTCCCTTTTCTTCAGTTCATTCCAATCTCATTCCGACAGTCAACGTTAATGACTCTAAGAGTAAGTTATTGTAAAAGCTATATTATTTTATCATGAAACTTAATTGATTTTTGTTTCTTTAAGTATTTGCCATTTTTATGTGGTAATTTTAATGTCAGTATTCTCTCTCTGAATGAGGTAGCAAGCAGCACTCTGAGAGCCCACAGACCAGGGCCAGGCAGCTCATCGCCCACAACTTAGGGCTCTTCCTGGCTGTACTGTTGTCAAAATCTCCCCAGCCTAATGGTCAAAGTATTGTTTATCATTACATAACTAATGTGACGCACTCTGCTGAATGCTTCCCGAACATCATTTAATGTCCATCAACTCCCTGAGACATACTATTCCTTATATCTTAGTTTTTTTTACAAGGGAAAACTGAGCCCTAGAGAGGTTGTATAGATGAGAGCCTCACAGCAGAGCAAAGGGTGGAAACCACTTTAGTTATGCTTGATGTCAAAGTAGGACTTGTGGCTATTGCCTCTTTTTTTTTTTCTTGAAGATTATTTATGTATATAGTATTCTGTCTGCATGTATGCCTGCCCACCAGAGGAGGGCATCAGATCTCATTACAGACAGTTGTGAGCCACCATGTGGTTGCTGGGAATTGAACTCAGGACCTGTGGAAGAGCAGCCAGTGCTCTTAACTGCTGAGCCATCTCTTCAGCCCAAAATTAATTAATTAATTAGTTAAATGTGCATTGGTGTTTTGCCATGGGTGTCGGGTCCCCTGGAACTGGAATTACAGACAGTTGTGAGTGGCCATGTGGGTGCTGGGAATCGAACCCAGGTCCTCTGGAAGAACACTCAGTGCTCTTAAACACTGAGCCATCTTCTCTCTAGCCTGCCTCTGTTTACTTAGGCAAGATGAGTAGTTTTTAATTATTTTTGCTTTTTTATTAAAATTTTAGATTATTTTTACTTTTTAAAAAATATTTATATATTTTATGGATATGGGTACTTTGTCTGCATGTACATATGCATACTAGAAGAGGCCATCAGACAGTTGTGAGCTACCATGTGGGTGTTGGGAATTGAACTCGGGACCTTTGGAAGAGCAGTGAGTGCTCTTAACCACTGAGCAATCTTTCCAGCCCGATTTTTTTTTTTCTTTTTTGAGACAGGGTTTCTCTGTGTAGCTTTGGTGCCTGTCCTGGATCTTGCTTTGTAGACCACGCTGGTCTCAAACTCACAGAGATTCACCTGCCTCTGCCTCCCAAGTGCTGGGATTAAAGGTGTGTGCCACCACCACCTGGCTTTTTTTCTTTCTTTTTCTTTTTTTTTTTTATACTTTTTAAAAATTGAAATGGGGCCTGGAGAGATGGCTCAGAGGTTAAGAGCACTACCTGATCTTCCACAGGTCCCGAGTTCAATTCCCAGCAACCACATGGTGACTCACAACCATCTGTAATGAGGTTTGGTGCCCTCTTCCGGTATGTATGCCTACATGCGAGAACACTGTACACAGAATAAATAAATCTTTAAATAAATAAATAAATACTGAAATAGAATTATATCACTCCCCACCCCCTTTCCTCCCCCCATCCCCTTCCAGCTACCCTCCCTCAAATTCCTCTGATGTCCCCCCTTTCTTGAGCTGACAGCCTCTTTTTGATTATTTTTGCTACACACACACACACACTACACACACACACACACACACTACACACGTGTGTGTGTGTAGTGTGTGTGTGTGTGTGTGTATATGCACAAATATGTATCAATACAATCTGCTGAGTCTGTTGGTGTTTGTTTCAAGGCTGACCACTGCACTGGACAACTAACAAGGGGGCTCATCCCTGGGAGAGGGTAGTTCTCCCAGCAGGCATTCAATCCCAGGGAGAGGGTAGTTCTCCCAGCAGGCATTAGTTGCCTGTGGTTCTTTGTCTAGGGATGGGAGCCTGTAGAATTATTTATCCCCCTTCCATGTTAGTATGTCTGTCAATACTGCCATCGTCCCACTCGTGTTTATGAAGCCGTCTCAAGGGGAGGCTGTTTCACAGCAGACTTCCTGGTGTTCTGGCTCCTTCAGTCTTTCAGTCCTCCATCATGTTCCCTGAGCCACAGACATCAGAGCTGAGATGTGGAGGTGGCCATTGAGGCTGAGCTCCCATGTTGATCTCTGCATCTAATCCGGTTGTGGCTCCCTTTGATGGTCTCCACTTGCTGTAAAGAGGCTTCTTTGATGAAGGGTGGTAGCTACCCTTATCAAGAATAGTGTAGGGAATTTCACTGATCTAGCAAAGTGGTGATAGTAGACTCATTTCTAAGGTCCATGACTACTATACTAGCCCCCCGGAAGCTGGCTAGGTTTCCAGTTCAAAGCATGATTTCCCTCCTGTGGAGTGGTCCTTAAGTCCAATCAGACAGCTGTTGGTTGCCCCCGATATGTGAGTGCCACTTAACTGCACTTTTATGCATATCTTGCATGCTGGTAATCACTCTGGTTCATATGTGTTGTGGCTGGGTAGGACTGTTTAATTGCTTCCCATCCTTGGCAGCTTGCATAGTATTTTCTGGAACCATGGAAGCTGGACAGCAGGAAAGAGGCTTTCAGGTGAGATCTAACTCGAATCATCTGTGCACTGTACCCTATATGTTGTGACAAGTATTTTCATATTAGCAGTGTCCACAGGATATCAGTGAGCATTGAAGAAGTTAATAACACTTGAAAATTCCTGAGAAATGACATTGCTGTTAGCAGAGCCGAGCTTCATCATGTTGTCCAAATGGAACTATTTTTGACTATAATTGAATTTCCTACCTCAACTGTTAAACCATGTGGCATCAGCTGTGAGTGTTAGTGACCCTGGAGAAAGACAAGACTTCATGTCTGAGCTTGCAACTCTATAAGGCATCAGGGGAGTTAATAGACCTCCAGGGATGAGCTCCCTTATTGGTTGTCTAATTTTCAGTTAGACCTCAGCCATTGGAAGTGCACATTACCTGTGGCCACAAAGTAAGGCAAATCCAGCGTGTTTTGATGGAGGGGGCTTCCTCTC